CAGCGAATACGCAAGCTTAGGGTAGCGAAGTGACTGTATTTATCTCTGCCTTCCTTAACTCCTTCCCTAGATTTTAGGTCTTTTATAGTGTTGTTGCTAAGCTAAGGGCTTCGCAACCCTTAGCTCGCGCCCCCGTAACGTGGCCGGTGCGCGGCCGTTGCGCGACCGCGCCCTCTTTAGATGGGCTCTGACACTTTGCTTCGCAAGTCTTCTAGTACCTAGATAAGTCCATCTAGTGTCAGGTATCCAGTATCTATAGAAATACCTTCTAGGTATTATTCGTTTTCCCAGTTCTTAACGTATTCCTTTATATCGTTAATAATTAGGTCGTCTATCTTGATTTAGTATAAGGTGTTAATCAATCGGATAACTAGGTCTCCATACTGGTTTTTCTCTAGTATTTATGCCTTAACTTCTGGGATTTCTTAGAAGTAGTCTAGGCGCCTGCTGAGTGCATTAGCGCGTCCGTTATCTAATCTACTGCAGTGTTTAATAATAAGCTTAAACTCGGAGAGTCGCTTATAGTACTTGACTTATCTGCAGGATAGTTCTTATGTTATTATAAAGTAAGTGATATTCCAGTAATCCATAAGGATTATTACTGGAAATCAACTTCCTTTATAATAGTATCTCTAATGCTGCTTGCTGAGCGCTTAGTATATAGCTATAAATTCTTTATTATAGATAGGATATCTGAGTTCTAGTCCGTGTAGTTTCTTAGAGAAGTAGGCGATAGGCCTGAGTTTCTTTTTTTCGTCTGGTTGGCTAAGTACTCCTCTAATTATATAGTCTAAGGCGTCGGTTTTAATTATAATGGGTTTATTTAGGTTAAACATTATGAGTACTAGTGTACTAGTAAGGGCTTGTTTAAGGTATTTAAAGGCTGTTAGAGCGTCTTGTATAAGTTCAAATTTAACGTCTTTCTTTATTAAGTTCGTAAGTGGCGTAGTAATTTTTAAAAAGTCCTTAATAAAGCATTAGTAGTAATTGGCAAGTCCTAAGAAGCTTTGTACTTACTTAACGTTCTATGGCGGTTCTTAATTATTAATTGCCTTAAGTTTCTCAGGGTCTATTTGGACTCTGCCTGGGGTGATAACATGTCCTAGGAATGTGACTTTCTGTATATAGAAGTTGCATTTCTCAGGTTCCACCAGGAGTTTATTATCTTAGAGTGTTTATAGTACCTTCTTAACGTACTCCTTGTATTCTTCTAAGTTCTTAAAGTAAATAAGGATGTCGTTAAGGTATATAATAATAAAATAATTTACGTAGTCTTATAGTACGTAGTTAATTATTTTCTGGAAAGATGCTGGGGCGTTTGTAAGTCCGAAAGGTATTACCTGACATTCGTAAAGTCCATATCTTATGCAGAAGGCGGTTTTCTATTCGTCGCCTTTCTTAATTCGGATGAGGTTATATACTCCTTTAAGATCTAGCGAAGTAAAGATCTTGGCTCCTGTAAGCCAGTCTCTGATTTCCGGAATCAGTGGTAGTAGCGTAATATCTTTCTTAGTTATTGCGTTTAATTGTCGGTAGTCTATAATAAGTCGAAGTTTACCGTTCTTTTTAGGCATAAACATAACTGGATATCCTGCTGAGGATTTAGAAGGTCTGATGTAGCCTTTCTTCAGCTGGTCTTTAATCTATTTGTCGAGTATCTTAAGTTCGGTGGTACTTAGGTTGTAGATTTTATTAAACGTTAGGACTTTATCGTCCATAAGCTCAATCTCATGATCCTATTGGCTGTATTCTGGTAGTCCAGTGTTAAGTTCTTTATTAAAGACTGGTATATGCTGGAGGTCTGTTGGTATGTTCTTTAAATGTTCTGATGTCTGTTGGTCTCGGTGGTATAATTCCTTAACCTTTTGTATAATCGAGTTAAGAAATCTAAGCTGTTTCTTTTTTGGTTTCTTAACGTATTTGACTGTCCTCGGGAGCTTCTTTAGCTCCTTTAATCGTACTTGCTTTGTGATTTTTTGTTTTTTTATATGTTTTTTCGTTTCTTGGTTTAATGCAGGGGTCACCGATCCTGTCGTCGGGGATGTTATGGCATCCTGTCGATCCTCCTGATCTAGTTATAGTGTGTCTCTAAAATTAATTAGTTCAGGGCGAGTTCGCTATCTCGCCTGGCCTCTAATCCAGTTAATATCGGGGTTACGCAATTTAAGCTAATTATATCCTAAGAGTATATTATATCCTGCGATATTTGTAATGTTGAATTTAAACGTATCCTTAATTTTACTAAACTGGATTATGAGGTGATCGGTCTCGCGGTCGACAGTTCTATTATTATATATAAATTGTTGTTTCTTAATGCTCGCAAAGGTATATGGTTTCTCTTTCTTACGATAGTTTAACTGTAGGCGGTTAACTAGTTAAGGCGTAATATAGCTTATTATAGCTCCGGAATCTATGTAGACTGTAATTGGTTTATTATTTAACTATCTGTCTACTAGGAATTTCCGTAGTTTCTTTCCTTCTGTTATAGTGTTCAGGTTGTAGTAGGTCGTATCGTCAGCGCCGTTGTAATAATTATTACCGTAAGGGTTAATATTAATGTCGTCTAGGTCTAAGGTGATCTATCCTGGTTCTTTGTTTTAAATATTATAGTATTTACACCAGGTGCATCCGGGTTTAGGTATGTATCTGGCGGTAAGCTTATGGTATTTCCAAAGGTTGTTCCAGTTAATTCCTTGTAATTCATTATTATTACTATATCTTACTAGGTTAAATCCTTATTGTTCCAGGTTATAGGTAACATATACAAGGGCTCGGCGTTAGTACTAATGTTTCTTACAATGATCTTTATTACAGAGCGTAAATTCTTTTTATCTATATTCTGCAGCCCCGTAGTCCTTATGCTATTCCTAAAGTTTAATTATAGTATATTATTTATATAATAGTAGCTTATAGTTGATAATATTAGCTTTATTATATTAGTCTATAAGTAGGATGTTATTAACGTAGTATAGGGTCGATTTTAGTGTCTTAGCTATTAGGTATTCGTCTGCGTTAGTCTTAATGTATTATCGAAACCGATTTCCGTATAATTAGATCTGGTCGTAGGCGGTACTTAGATTAATCTATTTAATCTGTCCCTATTGTTCGAGGAGTCTCTGTTAGTCTTTAAGTTCTTTTTATTATATGATTTCATTATAGCGTTGGTTTTCTTTAATAATACCTTGGATTCTGTATTAATCTTTGTGTTGTTCTTAGTCAGCTGTGGTTATCTTACAAAGGTAATATAGTCCCTTAGGTTCGACTGATCCGCACTGGTTGTATATATGCTTCTCAAGGTTATTGATTTCTTCCTGAGTTATTCCTTTATAAGGGTTATATTATATCGGAGGTGCTGTGTTTGGAAGATCCTCGTTGTACTGGCGTATGTCTTTGTTTTGTTTCTATTCTCGGAGTACCTCTTCCTTATCCTTAAATTTGTTGTTTTATTCTTGCTCGTCGAGGCTTTATTAAATAAGTTGTTTAACGTAGCTGAGGTCCTCCTAGGTGTCTTCTTTAAGCGTGTTTAAGGTTTATGTACGCCCTTTGGGGTACTATCCTGATCCTTGTTTATCACTGCGATGGGTCTGATAGTTATTATCGTAGCACGCTAAGAAGTATAGGATGTTATGGTCTACCGAAGGTCTTATAGTATTAATAGTTCGGTTCTCCTTAGGCTCTGGGACAGGCGTGAATTTCTTATCGCTATCTTTCTTAGGGGCTTGATAATATTTCTTTACGTGTCCTTTCTTTCCACAATTATAGCATTTAACGTTCTTACGTTATGCCTCGATGGTGCTGAGGTCTATAGGTCCTGGCTTTCTATCGTTGTATATTATAAGGTCCCTTTTCTTTCCCTGGTTAGCGTTATTACCGGAGTAAAGATACTTCGGGACTGTCTTCTGGGGATTTCCCTCTCTCTTACGTTCCTGGCGTCGCTGAAATTGTCGTTTATTAATATAAGTGGCTTTTTCCGCAAGTTTGTCAAGGGTATTAGGTTTTTCATCTCTAGAGAGTTCATCCTTAACGTCTAAGTTAAGTCCCTGGTAGTAGAGCATGCGTTATACTTCGTTATTTAAGTTGGTCCTGGCAGCTAGGCGTATAAAAGCGGCAGTGTACTTTGCACAGGGTCCTTTTTACTTAATTTAAAGGAGTATATCTTCGGCTTCTTTAAACTCATTAGTTTTTCCACATAGTTTCTCGAGTTGTTTTTTAAACGTGGCGTAATTGTTAAATAAGTCGATTGTATATTGTTTCTTAGGTGTCTTGGTTTATTTAAAATCCCTGAGGTGTAGTTTAAACCAGTCTTTAGTAGTTTTAGACAAACAGGTTCCTGCAGTTTAAATCTTTATAACATCATTAGCCATAGTGGTCGGAAAGTAACTGAAGTAGTTTCTTATGTCCGTGAAAAATTTCTGAATTTACTTAGGATCTCCTTTAAATTTGTCTAGCAGTGGTGGTTTAATGATTTCTCCGGGTTCCCGTTGACGTGCCGCAGGGGCTGGGTTTACCACGGGGTTTACCACTGGTGTTCGTCCTTAAAGCATTATTATAGTAGTTGCTTAGGTAGCAATTATTTGGCGTAACTGATCCACAAGTTCTTTAAGTACCAAGAAGCGTTATTCAGCTTCTTACGTATTAGCTGGCGGTTAAGGGGCTATTTTAACGTCTTCAGGGGTTTCTTCAAAATTATCTTATATTTCAATGTCGCTGTTATCGTAATCACTTTAAGCTTCGCTCTCGTAATCAGTGTCATTGTCTAGGACTCGGAAGCTTATCAGCTATTGAGTTTTTAATATCTTATTGCCCATAGGTCTAAGGTGACCATCTGAACAAGAGTTGTTATTATGTAATAAACCAGGTCCTATAGGCTCTATAGGTTAACTGTTTCCAAGGGATAAACCTTAGAGTGGTTCTATAGTTTATGTTGGCGGAGGCGATCAGGTCGGTAACAGGCAATCTTATCACCAGCTAGTTAATACAAATAAGAATAAATGTCTGTGTTCCAATCTAATTGTATTGTAAACGCTGTGATAACAACTGGCTATCTAAGTATTTTAATAAGTGACATGAAGTAAACTTATATATCCAGTTGTGTATTCTGGAGTCGAGTGGAATCGCTTATGATCTTAATTAATTCGTTCCTGCGTCGATTGGAATCGACGTTGATTCCCGTCGACCGCTTCCTGATTGGCTGCGCGGCCCGACGTTAATCCGGGAGTGCCTACCCTGTAGGCCCCTTGTCGCGACCATAAGAGCTGGGTCGTGACAAATGAAATATAACTCTGCGATATAGAACATGGCTTGCGCAATCACGTCTCCTTCTTTGTTCCTTGGTACCTCCTCTTTCACTTCCTCTGGCGTCTCTTCATCTTCCTGACCTCCCTCATCGGGCGGATTCCAAGGCCCTGGGCCAGTATTTGAAATTTGGAAATTACCATGCAGATCGTGCCAGCTCAAGTTTATTGCTTGAGTGGCTGAATATGAGGCAATGTCCCATATTTCGACTTTGATTCCGAAATCTCTATCGCTGTATGATATTGCAAGTTGTCTATTGTCCGGTGAAAAGCGAAGCTGTAAAACATCAGATTCCTTCCCTCTCGTTTGCAAATCCAGCAGACAATTTTCCGAGCCTATGTCCCATACCTGAACGTACGAGAGGTCGGAGGTACCGCTTATGATGAGTGTGCTAGCTATGCGCTTGGCGTCTAATGAAAGCACAAGACTAGACATACAAAACTCCAAATTGGAGGGATGTATCCACATGGAGAGGGTTTTTGCGGGCTTAGAGGAAATATCCCATGTTATGAAACCGTTCCTTGATATAACGAACAATTTTTTCGAATCGGGAGAGAAGAGAAGTTTCCGAACTGTATCCTGAATAGGATCGAGTATTTTTAGATAATAAGTGGAGTTTGTTGAGCCAATTTCCATGACTTCTATAACTGGGTTGTTTGTGAATGCTGACGCGATAAGTTTGCCGTCTGGCGACAGAGATATAGAGCGTCTATCGATGATCTTTTGGCCAAGAGAGTTATCGCCTGCACCTGTCCTTGCGAAGCTTTCTTGGTCTGTGTCTATAACGCTGATAGCGAACCAATTGGCGCTATACATCTTACTTCCATCGGAAGAAAAAACCAAAAATGTACTCATGATTCTGATCTTCCGCAAGCATTTGCCGAAAACTGTGCTAATAAGCTCAACTCCTTGATCACCACCAATCGCTAGCAGTTTCCCATCGGGCGAGAAACTGACGTCTAATAGATTCCATTCACTTTGATATGACCATTCAATTTCGCCTGATAATGCATCTGCCAATATAACAACGTTGATGCTTGGCTCTGATGATGATGTAGAACGCATCCATTTATGAATGGCCAGAGAAGAACCATCTGGAGAAAATTCCATGCCTTCGATATCCCCGATGGTATTCGTAAGAATCTGCATGGTGCTTGCAGTATCGATATTCAAAATTTCAACGTGAGGCTCTCTGTACAATGCTATTGTACTGTCGTCGGTGGGCGAGAAAATGGCAAATATTGGCTGGGGGCTTGATTTCTGTAACTGAATTTTCTTGATTATTTCGCCTGTCTTAGTGTTCCAGAATGAAGCCGTGAATCCATTGTCATTACTATAATCTTCGATATTTTCAGAGTGTCTGTGCTTTTTAGAGAGAAAGCAAAGTAAGTGAGGTGTTGAACTCGGGTACGAAAATGTTACCACATCGTCCTTGATTCGAAGCTGTTGCAACGCTTTACCCGTTGTAAAGTTCCAAATCACAAATTGAGAATAATCCCGACGCTCACAACAGCTTGTTGCTAACTCCTCGCTATTCCAAGGAGAAAACCAAACATTGAATGCACCACTATGAAAATAGTCGTTCATGTCCCTCTCCGTAAGTGAAGCGCCTAGGAGCGCATCCAACTCGCGGATTATTTTGCCAGAATAAGTTTCCCATATTGTTACAGTAGCCCCAAAATGACGAGAAGCTATCCACGTTCCGCAGCAAGAGACAGCGAGCCCATAAATATACTTACTACTATCATATATTCTTGAAGATGGAGTCCATTCGGTTTCACCTTCGGCGAATGCTTGAATCCACTTGGGAGCTTGTTTCTTAAACTGGTAACGAGTAAGACTTTGACTTGGGCTAAAGCTCAAGGCCGACACGTAAACTTGCAAAGGGTGGTCTGCTATGGCGCAGCCAAACGTTTGGATGAATTTGCAAGCATCCCGGACAAGCTTGAGTAGCTCAGGTGTTCCGGAACCAACCTATTGCAACGATTCAGAAGCAGTTCTCACTCTGATGGACTCGTAGTACCTACAACCAATTGCTCTAGCCGTCGCATTCCCGCTATGCCGTCGGAAATACCTCCGAGAAGGCTCAAAGCTTCTAGCCAGTAAATGAACTTTTCTTTGAGAAAAGCATATAACAATTCATGACTCATAAAAGAATCAAGAGTGACTGTTCTGGTTTTGAATATAGATTGTGCAAAATGATCAATCCAGTAGGCGCAGCTGTATTTGATAGGAATGAGTGGGTCGTTGCTCAAGGTATGCTGCGCGAGATTATCCATCGAAAATACAGGGTCAACTAGACTATATATATCTTTTCTTAGAATGTTTCTCATAGCAGCAATAGAGGCCTCGAAGATCTCTCCGTGGACATATTCCATGCCATGTGGAAATAACCGTTGGCTTCCTTCTTTGATGAGAAAGTCTTTGGCAGACTGATGAACGAAATATATAGTGTCACTTCTCATAGTTAAAAAGGAGCCACAGTGGCCTAGCATGTCTTCCCAGTCGTACTCAGAAGGCTGTATTATTTCATTATAATGGCCCGTATTAATTAGAGGAACTAGTTCTTCTTTGGTAAGAGGTCGGTGGGCGACTGTAGCGATTGCAAGAACTCTTCTGCTAATGTCTGATATACTTGAATCACATACTCTATTTATCATTCGTTCATAGAGTTGATCAAGCGCTGGAGGAAAGTCTGCCGCTTTTGGGAGAGGATCGGACCGTGGTACCTTTTCAAGGAGGGCGCATACTAATGCAACCCAAAGAAAAGTTCCACTTGCATTATCAGCAAGGTATCTTTCGATTCTTTCTCTTGTAGATTGTTTATAGCCCTTCTTATCAGCTAGAAGCTGTACCTTATGTCGAATGTAGGTGGCTATCGCAGTTGAGACAGATTCTGCATTGAGCTCGAGGCTTACTGTTGATTTGTTCTCTGCGACTGCAAGTGCCTCTTGAATATCCGCCTCATTGCGACTGGACACGAGCCATTTCACCTGAGATGATGACGACGAGTTTCTCACCATTATTTCGAGAAGTTGGATTAAATCCTCCATACACTCATCCAGCGCATCGATAACGAGGATTGACTCATTTAATGAATCATCTCTGAGCATCTGCTCAAATAGCCGTGATAAGACGACCCAGGAATTTGTACCTTCAAATGCTGACTTTCCTGACCGGTTATACTCGTCTTTAATGTAAGAGATAAGAGAAGGTTGCTGAACAATCATCATATGCAACAAGCCACGTAGTATTGCCGAAGCATTGTTAACGCGAACGTCTGTTGCTTGGCAGAGGAAATAATAGATGTTGCCTCTAGGGTTGGCCGACTTTAGCTCGTTGATGATGCCGCATAGTAGCATTGTCTTTCCTTTACCCGGATCGCCTTTAATCCACAGTAGACGAGTTTCAGGGTCATTAAGCCACTGCATAAACTCTTCGTTTCGCATGATCCAGATATATGCATCCAGAAGCAACCCTCCCTTTGTGTCTTCGATACGCTGCTTATCGTCCTCGGGGTTTGTGATAAATAATGCGTCGAGACAAGTTTTGTTTTCTTGAAGCTGAGAATGCACTGCATCGGCCTTCAGCTCCGTGACAGGCGATTTATCAGTCTGGGGATAGCGCTCAATTAAAGCCCTCGCAACCGACGCAGCAGTTGCGGCGGCAAAGTTTTGCCACTCTGCCCATTTTCTTGTCTTGTGTCCATCTCCATAGTCACTCACACCCTTGACAATGATGCACGGCAGCTCGTCCCAGACTCCAGCGCCCTCCATCTCAAAAGCGACGATGCCATGTGTTTTAGCCAGAGAGTCGCGGTGGACGCCTGAGTTAAAGGCCGTGTCGCCGGATCCAAAACGCCCGAAAAATATGGACGGATTCTGTGCGGACTTCAAATTACCACCATCCTCCAGTAGGCGCTTTTGGTGTAGACGATCTCGGTGTTTCAAAGAGCTGAGTTCGCAACCAGTCTGTTCGCAATCCAAATATCTGGCTTCATCACACACTGCATGCAAGTCTTCTTCTTGGTTGTAGTCGGCACACACACATTGTGATGAATTGTAATGTCTGTGGCAATGAGTTGACTCGAAGAGAATATCGGTTTCAAAACCAGGGTAAATGTAGGTTGCCCCTTTGCGTCTTTGTCGATACTTTGCCTCCGAAACAAGACTCTGGATCTGCTCTAGATGCAATGTTGCTTTCTCTTCTAGGCGCTGGAGTCCCATCTCGGTTTTAAAATTCGCGATAAACTTTCGAATATTGTTATTTGCGCGCCCTTGACGATCCTCAAGAGTGTTTCTCCTCTTTAGTGCATCATTAAACAGGCTGTTGAGATCATATTGGACGACTGTTTCGCTGATGACTACGTCGCCAAGCAGCAATTCTTCCCCATTTGCATCTGGGACACCCTCGCATATTCCGGTAAGAAGCAGGAGTTCAATGCGAGGATAACTAGATCGAAGACTAGCTGATGTACTCGCTGAGTTGGCTTTGCCTGAATTGCAGAGGAGCACCACAACTATGTTATATTTGCCCATGTATCCTGTGGTGTAGGTATTGAGATCACCCCGGGCTCTGCCGAATGGGTCACCATCTATGTCCCAAAAACCGTCTAACAGTAAACAGATAGCATCATATTCGAGCGCCCTTGTACAGACGATTGCAATCTCGAATTCGTCTCTGCTAGTTGGCCGAGACACCTTATCTGCCGCCATATTGATGGTAAAAGCTCGATCTGTAAGTCGATGGTCTCTTAGATATCTCGAAATAATATGATATATTCAATGTAGGTACTCAATATCGTGGTGAAGCGACAATTTTGACAGGAAGTTTACAATAGCCAGATGCCCAACTGTACAGAAGTTGGGCATGCTTCGAACCCCTCTTCCTGCAGCTGAAAAGGTACATGGTACATCAATTGGGAGCATACGATTGGATTGTAGCATGTTTACCTACTTAATATACGTGCAGGAAGAAAACAAGGCTGTGGGCATGGATTGGGCATGGACTCAACCATACATGCCACGTATCAGCTAATGACGCAATTTGATGCCCAATATGTGATTTCGAGAGGCCTATGGGAATTTGTGCCAGATGACTTTTTTCTTCTAGCAACCAATCTTGATAGTGTTGTACAATCTTGTTCAAAGTGGAATTGAGTGGCCACGCATGTCCTCGTTTTAGGCCAGCCTGACGAGAGCCTCATGTTGGTACGGACATAAGTGCAAGCGACCACACCTAAGACGTCCATCAACATGAAGAAATGAGAATATTATACTGTACAGTATGTCTGACCAATCATTACAATAACACATTTGCTCAGATACCAAAGGTAGCTATGAAAAATGTACGTATTCACAGTTGCACCTCATAACATAAAGTTCATAATCTCCCTGGTGTGTCTTGAAGATATCAGTAGCCTAACCTTGTTTCCATCGTCTTCTCCATATCCTCAAGCTCCTTCAAGTCCTGAACACCGCATAGCAAATCGTTCTCCTCGTTAAAGTAGTGAAATAGAAGCACTGTTCTCGACGACTTCCACATGGGCACTTGACCCTCCTCACCGGCTTCCTCATTACGGATAATGGTACATACGAGAAGCATTATCGCTAAGAATTGTAACGCAACGGGCAGAGAAACCCACGCCCAGTATACGCGAAAGTAGCTGAAATCAACCTGCATGAGGCCGTACGCGCGTTGCGCCGCGCTCTGCTGAAGGCTGTCGGTCATACTTCTCGCGACTCGGTCCATCACATCAATGAAACTTGCGTTCATAAATGCTGGTATTACGCCAACCCCGGCATAATGGTCAGTGGGATTACCGACACCGTAATCAACACTACCCTCGAAAGCTGGGGAGGCGAAGAAAACCTGCAGAGGTTCAACTTCATCCATGCTAACAAAAAAGTCATGGCCCTTGGCAGTGTAGTTGATGTGTGCGGCCGTCCCATTGAGATCATTACTGACCGATTGGCCCTGGTAAACACCATCGCTAAGTGGGATCAATACTCGGGATCCAATGCTGAGATTTTTCTCATCCGAAGTGACGAGCGAATAGTTCCAAGCAACCAGGCTGAAGGTACACTCAATAATGTCCGGCATAGCGGGCTCAGTGACGGAAATATGGTCCGTGTAATATCGCCCAAAATATGAATCACTGAGAAAAGCAACGTGCATGAAGGAGCCGTTTGCAGCCGTGGCTTCAGCCCCCAATGTCATGGTCCTTAGGGACGCTGCGGTGACACTGCCGTCGGCCGCTCCAACCATCCACGTATATGGGAATACAATACCGCCAGGAGTTGTTAGGTTTACCGCCCCAAAAGCGACGCGATTCCAATTTGCTATCTGTGAAATGTTGGCTGTTTGGGCTGTCACATTGCTGCAAACACTGTCGAATCCCAAGACTATCTGGCTGGCAGGCCAAGTGCAATTAGAACCACAGGTGTACGATTTCGACCAATTCGTTTCTGAGAGCCCTCGAAAGATGGAGGCTTGCATTGAAAACCCCAGGGTCGACTGCGCTAATTATGAGAACAACTTATTAGCTCTTAGCCTAGTCAGAATATTTTCTTGATGGACGTTCCTTTTTTAAGGAAGCAGAAAGAAAGACGAAGATAATCAGCAGAAAATATAGGTATCCATACCATTTTCAGTTATAACGTGAACAGTTTTACCAAGGCTTTCAGTATAAGTATAAAACGCGGGCGAATTGTTGTTGCTGATATATTCGGAAGCGGATCCGATTTTGACCGATTGTTGGATCAAGAAGCCGGTAAAAACGTCCAGAATAATTATGACGGATGCTAATGCTGTTAGACCCCATCTGATTGACCATATAACTCTGATAGCACCAACTGGTCCGCCAGAGCCCCGATCTAGTAGAGTAAAGTGCTGAAGTCGATGCCTCTTGGTTTGTTTCAAGTATCGCCACTTCTCTTGATCAAAACAGGCAGGAACTGCAAATCCAAGTGTCATGCTGGATAATGTCGAAAGGATGGTTATGGCTGCGTTGATGGTGATAGATCCAACTCGCCAAGAGGTTGTCCGTTGATCTTTCATCGCTGCCAAGATGCCTATAATAGCAGCCATGCATAGGATGCTAATGAATAAAGCCAGCATCTCCCATTTCCATGTCGCAAGGGCTGACAACTTTGGAAGAAGACACCGCCGCCATCGCCGCTCAGTTTCAGTCTGGTAAATGGCGTTATGACAATTCCCATCGGGTTCTGCTTCGTTGAGATGGTCATGTTCAGCTCCCGGCTGTGCATAGACCTCGGTCTTTCGCCTCGTAAATCGACTTCTAATGGAATTAAATCCTCTATTCTAGGTTAGAGATGCTTTTGGAATATGCTCCATTCGAAGTCTACGTTCTTTGTCCATTTAGATGAATGAGATGTTACCTCGCCAAGGTAGTTTCGCTCTTCACCTTGTTCCACGGCTTGATAATTCGTATCACCTTTGGGCACTTGGAAGATGGTGTTACTGAGTGGTTCTTTCATGGAAGAGGTTTCAAAGGTAAAGTTGAAATTGCTGGTCTCTGTCGTGTCCGGACCGGTGGCCGTGTCCTGGTGCTCTTCGACTAACATGGTGAACTCGGGCTGTCACGGATCAAGCTTTCATGGCCTTTACTTCACTTCTGGTGCGAATTTGAGGGTGAATACACAACGGGAAATCAGTACAATCTACTGCTTTTCTAATCCCGCGAGATTTAGAAAAGGAGAGAGAAATGGGTAGAAGAGAGAATGATGGCAATCGCCGGTCAAGCGGGGCTAACGAGTTGAGTAAGGCTGAAACCTGATGCCTGCAGCATGCAAAAGTCCCAATAGCACTTGTAATGTCGTGCTATTGCAGGGTGCTGCCTTTACTACATTGAGACAGAAGGACGACCAACAGAGCGACCAACAGAGCAACCAACAGCAGTTTACACGCTTTTTTGTGGTTGCGAATCCCTGGCGTCGGGGAACAAACTCGAGCTCGCTTAATGCTCATCCCGCAGATCGCGTATCTCCGCAAAGCCATTTTCTAGGTAGACTTAGCAGCCAGTTTTGCCAGGGTAAGTTTCAAGACTTACCAGAACAACCATGGAACGATGCGCAGGTACATGTATGATATGACACCCACTCAAGAAGCCCATAACATCACATGCAAATACTGACGGGTAGCTTGTCGGTCACCATATTGGCAATCGGGGCTCATAGTATAGACGACTTCCTTGATAGTAAGGGATCAGTAAGGCGCATTCAAGAAAGGCAGTAAATATTGTGATACAAAGCCAACCTTGAGAGAGAGGGGAGACAGCCATGCAGGATTCCAAGCGAGACGGGGCTGGGGCATCCTTCTACCTCCTGGTCTCGCGGCTGAAAGCTACTGTAAATGATACGTTCCCTAAGAGGCATCTAGAACAATTTGAGGAGGTGGGTAAGGTAGGTGGCCTATGTATATATACACGTGCATTGAGAAACAAGGCTGTGGAATGCAAACCAGGCATTGCCCCAACTATGCGTGCCGCGTACCTATCATCCAATGATACAATTTATCTATCACAGTATTATCAGAATCTTTCTATCTATGTGTACTTCTCAAGAAGGGCTTTCATAACCGATGCTGCCGTAGCAGCAGCAAAATGCTGCCATATCTTATTCTTATGGCTATCAGCATAGTCACAAATGCCCTTCACAACAATACAAGGGAGCTCATCCCAAGCGCCCGCCCCCTCCATCTCAAATGCGATGAGATCGTGTTCTTCCGCGATTCGATCGCGGTCCTCACTAGATCTCATTACCGTGTCTCCCGATCCTATGGATCCGAGAAATATCGCAGGTGCTTGAGCCTCCTTGCGACATCCTTGTTGTTCCAGCTGAAGCTTATGCTTTATCCGACGCCTTTCAACGAGAAACTTCTCGTCGCATTGTAATTTATGACAAGATAATTTTCGAGAATTATCACAAGTCTCATGAGGACTCTTACAGAGACATTGTGGTTCGTCGTAGTGTTTGTGGATGTAAGTAGCCTCAAACAGCTTGTCATTTGCAGCTCCGGGACTCAGATACTGTTCTATAGAGTGTTCTGTGGAGGCGCTGTTCTGTATATAATCCAGGTAGAAGGCTGCCTGCTTCTCAAGCTGTCTTCGTCCTCGGGTTGTGTCGCAAATTTTGAGCAGACTTCGGATGTCTTTGCTGGGCCTTCCAAGACTGTCTGTTGAGGTATCTTTGGGCACGAACTTATCGCCATGACGTCTCCCGAAATCGTACTGGAAAACAGACGTACTCAGAACGACGTCTCCAAGAACAAGCTCCTTTGCAGTTCCAGGACTAGGTACGCCGCCACATATACCAGTTAACAGGAGGAGCTTCAGTTCTGGAAAGCTCAATCGAAGACTTGCGGCTGCACTGGCCGCACCAACTTTTCCCATGTCTGGTAATAGTACTAGAACAATGTTATGCTTGCCAATCCTCCCAGTTGTATATATGTTTGGGTCTCGCGTAGCCTTTCCATACTGGTCGCCATCCTCATCCCAAAACTCATCTATGAGGATGCAGACGGCGTCATATTCGAGCGGCAGCGCACAGACAATTGCGATTTCGAAATCGTCGCGGGAAGCTGGACGTAAACGGACCGTAGAGATAGTAAGAACGGCCTTTTGAGGCTGAGGTGATGTGCGTTGCTTATTCAGGAGGGAAGAAGTATCATCATAATTAGATTGAAGAGAGTGTGTGTTAGTGATTCCGGAATGAGCATGACGGTTCATGCTCTTTGCTTTTGATCCAAGGTTAATTTTCCTTTCTGCTTCTTCATCAAGGGCATCCATCGACAAGAACTCTTTAAAGATCATCCCGACTTCTGCTTCAAGAGGCTTCACGACATCGTTGAAAAGTGAGTCTCGCAGCATTTGCTCATCACACGCGTCACTAATGGAAAAGTTTGCCATCAGGCATTTTTGGATTGCATCCCGATATACAGTCGAAATGAAGTCGGGCCGCAACTCTTTGAATAGTTCCAAAGCCTTGCACCAAAGATCGTCGTAGTTGGTAATGTCCTCTTCGTACCCCAGGTATGACTCCAATTTTTGCCCAAGGTGGATCTCAAGCAGAGTCATGCCGAGCTCAAGTAATTCGGGATACTTGTGGTAGCCATCCGGATCATATAGTGGACCACCCAACTTTTGAGGATCAGATGATAAAAAGGGTCGCAAAGGGAACTGTGTGCCGTCCCCGAAGAATACGATATTCTTTCGGCTCCATCGTTCTTTCGTCCAGGATCCCCCATAGAAATGGAAGAGAGAGTAGCAGAGCGTGAGGCTGAGAGTGAATTTTGCCATTGCTGTCCATCTTTTGGCTTGAGATGATATGAGAGTGTTGAGATCCACTTCTTCTTGTAATGTTTCACGCTTGTGTCTTCTCTCATCAGGCTTATGGCTCTGCATACCTTCACCTATAGGGCCCAAAATTATGTTCAGCCTCCAGAATTCGGATCTGGATTTTGAATGAGTATCTAAGAGGGTGCAAATGCATTGATAAGTCTTTGGATTGTCAATTCGCCATAGTTCTGTGGACTTTGGTATCCCTTCTAGCCCAGCAAACCCGACCTTCGCTTTTCGTCTAGTTTGACTGGTCAGAATTGGCACACAAATGGTAGCTTAGTATGTAATGTTACCTCGGTTGTTGAATGTCGTGAACTGAGATCTCATGCCAGTTGTGTTCAGCTGCATCGGGCGCGAGCAATATACTCAAGCAGTTCACCTCTTGGTCTTGACGTCGCTTCCCCCTTCTGTAGGTTCCAATCCTAAGCCTTACTTCACGCTGAGGTGCACTTCCACACCTGTTACAAGTTACGTGCACCGAGGAAAAGACGCGATCGGCGAATGCAACGAGTTCACCTGATGGTTCTAGGGAAGTCATGGGTGGTTGTGGTCTGTCAATGCTCGGTACATCATCTCCGAATCGTTGAAGATCATCCGACAGCTTCTCCAAGGCATCTTGTAGAGATCCCCATGCGATGGTATGGTCTTCGATGGGTATAATATGTAATCTTGCTAATCCTTCTTCCCAGTTGTCAGACTTGGGGACAAGCTTTTGCATAGCCCGAAGCCGAGGGTGCCTGCATGATGGGTCATGAGATTCCTTGAGATCGGTCAGTTAGCGGCATCAAGGTGGATAAGCTATACCAGTATCTGATGGCTTCATACATGTGCCTTTTGGAGTAGTGTAAAATTGATAACATTGTCAAAGACTTCCTCAAGTAAGTCGGCCAAACTTGCGATCTGCCCTACGAACCAGTGTGTCTTTTCGGCTTCTCTGATGGCGCCAAGATGGCCGTTCAATACCGTGGCGGCCGTGTATATATTGCCTAAATACCCATATCGCCTATCACGTGGATCCAAACTCTTCTCCAAGTGACTGGTGAGCTCTTTCAAGATAGGCAATATGTACAAGACGAGCTTGAGGCAGTCGTCTGAATCCGTGCTGTTGTTTGGAGATGAAACAACGCTGCCCATATTATAACATTTGGAGGAAAGAGGGGGGAAAATAAGTAACGCTTAAGCCATCAATATATAATAATGATAATAATGATGACGGGATATATTCTAGGTTTGAGTGCAACGAGGCTGCAGATGAGCGGGGGAACTTGAACAGCGAGGCAGCGAATGGTTGATGCCGTTATCAAAACCCCGCATTTCTCAGCACAATCCATGTAAGAGCAATAAACGAGTTGCTCTATTTCATTACCAGTCAATACTCAAATCGACTTGCTAAAAAATCGCTTCTCAGGTACAGGGAATTTGCTATGTCTCGAAATGTCACCATCCGCGAACGTGCGACTACTTGTGTCGATATATTTTCCCAGGCCATCTTACTTTTAGCTCAATCTGAAAGCTCAGAAGATCAAAATGGCTTGCTCGACGAATTCGGCCGCTTCAAGCTCTGGACGTCCAATATAGGTGTTTTTGCGGATCTTCACTCTTCCTTGGATTATCGGCTCCGGGATTTCGACGACATCAAAGACTCCTTCACAAGACAGCTCATTACCGTCGAGAACAGGCTGCTGCAGCGTATGTTCGTCTATCCCGGCTGAAACCCTAGCTGCACGTATACTAAAAGTGAAGAAAGTACACGATGCTGCTCAGCAGGATTTGTCCAGAACTTCGATCAGGGAAGATGAAGATGAAGAGCCGGGCATCTCCACATCAACCAAGTCCACAACGGGAGCCACGTTTCAAGACTGGAATAATACGCAACTTTTGCAATCAATCCACCAGAGCATTGACTGGCTCCATAGGCTCTCTAATCTTGTCAGGAAAGCCAGTTTTGCCAACCAACACAAAAGGGCTGATAAGTTCATACTTAAAGATGACGACGACAACGATATGAGTGATACTCTCACCGACTATTACACAAAGCTTATCAAGCGAGAATTTAGCGGCTTGCAAGACACTCTGGTCCAACGACTAGCAGCATCTATGCTGGTGAGGCGAAGACGGATAATGTACCGGCGATCACAGCAGCAACGTTGGAAGATACCTCAAGTTGAACCCAAGACTAAAAGCCTTGAGCTGGCCACCCCATCAAGCAAATCGGAGTCGACTCCTCTCAGACCAAATGTCCCATTAAACAACGAGAAAGTACTTGTGTCGAAGCCAGAAGCAATAACCACGGCGCCATCCCGTTTAACAGCAACTACCATCGACACAAACATCCGCCGACGTGTGTCAGCGCCATCCGGCATATCTAAAGGAAGCACAGCTCCACTGAATGAGCAAAGTCAGTTGCTTATACCACCTCCTCCCAAGGGGGCCAACGTTGGCGAGGATTTTGTCTGCGACTATTGTTGTCTTATTCTCCCGAGCAAGATTGCATTGAACAGAAACGCCTGGGCGTGAGTATCCATATAAATGTCCAATCTCATTCTATAACTATCTCGCGTAGGCGCCGTTGAAACTCTCTGACATGCAAATAGGGATCACGTCAGTAAAGATTTATATCCCTATGTTTGTGTCGTTGACAAGTGCGACGATCCCATCGAAATTTATTCGTCTCGAAAGGAATGGCTTGCCCACATGAGTACACGCCATCTAATGAGATGGTACTGTATTGCCAAACTACATACACAACCTTTAGAATTCGACAGTGAGAACGGATTTATCGAGCACATGAAGATTGGACACCCAGGAAAATTCAAGAACGACCAACTATCGCTTGTTGCAGAGAACAGCTCACGCCCAAAGGATTCTGTGTTTGATGATTGTCCATTCTGCATTGGGACCTCCGATAATCTTGAGGAGCATGTTGCGCTGCATCTTCGTGACCTTGCATTGCGGTCATTGCCGTGGCCAGATGACGACGAGTGTGACTCTCAGCGGGGAGAGTACCTGCACAGCGACAACTCGATATCGGATGAAAATACTCGAAGCACTATTGTAGACTTCATATCAAAATCAGCAAAGTCTAGTATCGTAGGAATTATAGATGGCGATGATGGTCTCGAACTTAACGCAGAGGAGTGGTTAAGTACACGTAGCTATTTTTGCGACCCTGCTAGTCTATACGACTCACCACGTCTGCGAGAACAGCTTTCTGATAAGATCTTGATAAGATTGGCAATCAAAGAATACCGAGGAGTCACAGAACTATCTACTCTAGTAGATAAACTTGAGACTCTCCTCAGCGACGAATATTCACAAGCTGAAAAGGCTGCGCATCTCGAGGAAACTTTCATCATTATACAGCAGCTGAATGAAGATTCGCTAGACCAAGATGACTCTGATGGCCAATCCGACAAGCCCCTCACAGTTCAAGAAGAGATCCTGAGTATTAGTGTTCTGACTCCAAACGTCAGGTGGGACAATATTGACATGGACAACTTGACGCTGAGTGCCTCGCTCAAAGGCCCATGGGGAAAAGATGGAACAGATATCTTCATCAAGATAAAGATTGATATACCTACAGAGTATCCCGAGCTTAAAGCGCCAAAGTTCATCATTGAGAAAAGCTCATCTATACCAGAAGAAACACACAAGAGGCTTGATCAAGAGCTCTATGAAATTGCAGAGCAGTTTGCACAAAAAAAGCAAAATTGTCTGGAGACAATCTTTACCTATCTATTGGGAGAAGTTGATTTCGAATCTGCTACTCCTTTCTCAAAGAATAATCGCGACTCGAGTGACGATACTTCAACAGAAGAGGAGGTCGACATTCCAGAAGGTGGATTGGCGTCTATATTCCAGGAGCTGCCTCCTGCCGATGCGGACCCTGACGAAGGCGTTCCTTCTGTTAACATCGAAACATCACATAAGGCTGTTGAAGTTGCCATTATATGTACACTTTTGACTGAGTACGATGCAGTCTGTCTCATCTTGGACGAAGTCTGGGACAAAAATTACAAACGGAACGAGCGAGACAAAAGTATTTACACAACTGGGCGCGTTGGGAGGCACAATGTCGTGGTTGCTCTCTTGCCCCACACAACAAGATTAACCGCTATATCTACCATAGAGCAGCTCGATTTTCTTGACTCGCAATTAGGGCTCTTTTTACTAGTTGGTATCTGCGGAGGTATACCCAACATTGATGATAGTGAACTAATGCTCGGAGATGTTGTCATCAGCAGCAGGGTTGATGAGTACGACTTTGGCAGAAATTTAAACAGAAACGCCGCCTCGCCTTCTAAGAATTATCAGGTCGTAAAAGGGAAAGTCAAAGATGTTCTGTATGAAGTTTCCCAGTCAAAGTCAAGCGAAATGATGCTGGAGCTAGAAATGCGACGGTTTCTATTTGAACTTCAACGCAAAGACATCGCCAGTGGGGAAATACTAGCCGAACCCGAATACAACTATCCAGAAGCGCTCAAAGATCGCCTGTTTAGCGCACGCTACACTCATAAGCACCGTATCACGGATAACGATTGCAGTGTGTGTAACGGCAATCCTGATGCCATCTGCGAAAACGTTCTCCATTGCATGGAATGTAATGAGTGGCCCGATGCTGTTTGCGACGATGCTCGCAAAGCCTCTTGTCAGGAAATTGGGTGTGACGAAGGACAACTTCTCGTCCGAAATAATCTTCGGGGTGCTCATACGCCAAACATATACTTTGGGAATATTGCATCGGGTGACATCGCCGCGATGAACGGGCTGGAGCGAGACAGGATATCAGAGTGGCAAAATGTTATTGCCTTTGATATGAACAGATTTGATGGCTGGGAAAAGTTACCATGTATCTTCATCAAGGGCATATGCGATTATGCCGATGGCCACAAGGACGACGGCTGGCAGAACTTTGCGGCGGCAACGGCGGCGGCGGCAACAAAAGCTTTATTGGGGGGATACACCAATTAGACGATGACAGCAAAGATGTTAGACGACGGGATTTCATACGACAAGCTAAAATCAGAGTAATGCCGATATTATCCAAGTGAGACGTCGACGAGAGCTAGGGCGGGAGGCGCGAGAACAAGGAGATCTATGTCCCATTTGACCGCTTTGGTAAGCGATGGGAATCTGCAGCTGAAGATTAAAAAATTTATATAAATAGTTGATAGAGAGGGTTTGGTTAAAGCGAAGAGTTACATAAATGATCAACCAGAATTTATTTGTTCTCCTTTAATTCCTAACTTTCATTGTCCGTATAGTCTTATTTCATTTATGATAATAAATATTTGAAACTCTCGAAGTTACTATAAAAGGGGCAAGCTGGTTCTCTCTAAAATTTGTGCATATATAATATAGTATGGTGAATATAAACACCCGTTCAACCAATGCACAAGGCCGGACGTTGTGATGGCCACCAAATCGCTTGCGGAGTAGATATCTCTACTGGCCCGAATCCATTCGGACATTGATTGTGACATATATAACAACCCCACAAGCATACTTTCTCTTTCTGTTTAACTATCTGACGGAACCTATCTTCATATGGCAATCTTGATCACGATTCCAGAAGCGTTCTTGTGGATGCCCTTCATAAATATTTTATCCATGTAATACTCTCATGCCAAAGATTTGTCTCCATCTCACATCACAAAGCTCTTGTGCAACAGGAAGATGAGACTGTTTTGGATACAAGTTGAGACAAATAGAGCGACCAGTAAGCACAATGCAGCAAAGATTTCGATGTCCAGGTGGATTCAACCGTCATGTTGGAGATAAGAAACCCCAATGGTATGACTCAACGCAGCTTCCAATACATCCATTTAGAGCATATGCACAATCTGATCCAATTAAATACTGGTCATGATGCTACTTACATGCATGTGCTTTGCCACGTCAGGCACACACCCTTTCCGACGGATGATGTTTACTGTAGATGGACGTGGGATATTCTGCAGTTGTGTTATGAGCTATATTAAATGCTCAATTGAGTTCTTGAAACTTTGAAACCCAGACAACACATGAAGAAGATGAGGGTAAAAAGGTGCAAAAAAAGAAGTTTGAAGGGTATTGAACCCAACCCGATTCGAACGGATAACCTTCAGGAGATTCCGAGCTGGAATCTGACGCGCTACCGTTGCGCCATGGGTCCTGTTGACTTTAGTTGAGAAAATTCAGTCTGTAAGCCTTTGGTGCTGAGATTGCGCCATTGGCTTGGTCTAGACCAATCTCGTCTACTTCTTCGAAATCGCAGCGAATCACTAACCTATATCTACCGGTATTGGACAGTTCTTTATTGCTCTCTCAGCAGAATTAGGGACTTTATTAGTAATTTGAGGAATCTGAATGAATGGGCAATCATATTTCTCAGGTCTGGTTGAAGCTGATTGTGAGAAAATGTACTCTTTCGGTGAGGAATAAACGGCAAACTTCTCTAGCAATATTAGTTAACATTCAAATTTAAGCCAGTGCATGGTTCTAATGGAGTCATAGAATACCTAGCTTAGATTAGCAAAAAGAGTTGTAAACTCTCCCATCTTGCCATAATCTTCCACCCTTGCGCCCAATAAATGCAACCCAGTGATGATGGTATGCGAGTATTACAGTCTACTTTAGTGCTCTGCATCATCCACAGACATAGACCGGTATGTGTATTCCGTCGTGCAGTCATGTGAAAAGGTGCTGCAATCATTATTGCTGTAAGAGTATGTTCACTCAAAAAAGCAACAGAATTGAAGTTATGAAGAAAGCAAAAAAAAAAAAAAATTTACATGACTGTGAACACATACACACATATTTCGGCGGTACAGCACCTGTGTAATCCAACGCCCAACAACATCCGGACTGCGTGCGATCGGTACCCCAAATTTGCAGAGAGGCTTATGAGTACAAATTTCTCGGTCGGCATTCACAGCGGACCCATGGCGCAACGGTAGCGCGTCAGATTCCAGTTTATTTGGAATCTCCTGAAGGTTATCCGTTCGAATCGGGTTGGGTTCAATGCCCTTCATAATCTTTTTTTTGGCCTTTTTTCTAATTTTGCCTATCTATGCGCATGAAGCAATACTCCTTTGTATTCTTTTCTATCTACTCCGCTGCTTCTGTTGTGAAGTGGGATTCTGAAGATGGTATCTCGCCAGATGGCCTTCCATCTCCAATACTAGTTGATGAATGTGTCACATCATTTCAACAATATCTTAGAAGATAGACATCCCTAACTCACCACAGAGTTACACCAATGGAGATAATATGAAGTAGTCTATTGTCTACTGAAAAGTCTTGCAAGGTAGGTATGATCTAGTTCCCATTCTCAAGCACAGTGTTGGTCGATATCCAGTACCAAGCGTTTCCGTTATAGTCACTGACTTGTCCACCATTCGTGCTGTGTGCGTGCGCAGTGTCCATACAGTCATCAATAATGGCTTCGAAGTTGTTCCAGCAGCTTTGCGGGCTGCAGCCAATGTTGGGCGCAATTCTGGTCTGAGCACTGGTCAAGCCATCTGCCGTCGTGTAAGTTCCATCGCTGCAGGGAGTGTTGTTGCATAGCCAGTCACGGGCAGCCCAGAAGCCATCCCATCGTCCTTGTTTCCAGTTTGTCAGGCCCTGGCTGGAAACAACGCGAACACCACATTGGGGAGCTGCGGCAAGAGTGCCAGGGGCTAAGGCGAGAAGGCCAAGACCGAGGGCTAGAACGGAGGGCATTCTGCAACTGAGGTTAACGTTGGCTTGGTGAACTATAAGTGGAATGATGCTGGCATACCTAGGATATCTTCTGGAAACCTTGTGGTAAGATGGAGAGTTAGAAATTGAGATAAAGCTACGGGAGATTTGAACAAAAAGGACGAGACAAGCATTTATATGTTGAAGGCATGTTGATGACGCTCAAATAAGCTGATATCGTCAGCTCATTTTGACAGATTCTTTCTATGGACTCACGAGATCATGTAACTCAATCGTATATCTAGTTGATCAGAAGCCCGTTTAGTAATATGTAATCAGTTGAATGCATGCACGGGGTCATTCATTTCACTCCGTCGGGGTTTTGCGAGCTTAGAACTGTGCACAAAGCACCACAATTCTCCAGTAATCCGTGAGGGTTGATATGGGTATCTGACAACTGTCAATTGCCATATCATACATTGTTGAGCGGACTGAGCGGATCGGGCGGACTGAGCGGGCTCATCAAGTTGAGCTTGCATGGTTGCTCAGTTCCCACTTTTGGACCATCGGCCCAGTTAATAAGCGCAGAGATACTGACAACTGTCGGTAAGGTTACCATCTGATTTCATGGATGTAAACGACGACGGTGAAAATATTTTTGGGCTTGTGGTACGGTGCTATCCCATCCTGATGAACTAGCAGTTGATGAAGAGAAAGATCAAATTTGGCTATATAAACCACCCTTCCCAGGTCCATTTGTGCAAAATCATATAGCTCAGGAACGTAGTTTTTTGCCATGCATATCTGATTTATAAATTTGATGTAAATCCTGAATAGCTAATTGCCCTTTCATAATAAGTACAGTTTAAATTTGGTGTTGCAAACCTACAGAAGGACTACCGACCTGTATCTCGCAATATTTCCTGAATTCGTCCACGCGTGGGCCTAGGCAGTGGTAGTGCAAAGACCTTTTAGTTATTGTTTTCTCCTTTACAGAGTTTTCGTTGAGTGATAGGTCATTTCTCTGGCCAAAAAGATCATAAGACGTTGTATGCAATATCTCTTTCAATTGGGTCTCGTCAATCGCCTACACTCCGATCCCTGTTAGCCTTGATTACTAGCAGAACCATTTTCATTTAATTTGTAGCTAAGAAGGCCGGATATAGCGCATTAATACTGTAAGCAAACGTAGCTATTCAGATCATGCGATTGTGCTGACACTTTTAAACTGTGGGCTAGAAACGGGCTGCAGGACAGCTGAATTCACATTGGTTTACACGCTCTGGTGATGGATAGTGACAATCATTTAAAAGAGAAATGTATAAACTTCTTTGTAAATATAGTAGAAGCTATCATAGTTTTAGGAACCAAATTATAACTCTTGGGACGGTGTGATTTTACATCTGAGAAGTAGCTGTTTATAGTCGAGATGCTCATCACATCTCAGGGGAAGCTTCACGTAATCACACAGGCTAGTTGGTGAGAGTTTCCGAGCTGCCTATTCTGTGCATGACTGCCTCTTCAGCTGATCTAATAGTATCCATACACTTCTCAATCACAGTAAGCGTACTCCGTACCTGGCATATATCAGTACAGCTGCAAGAGTCAAATTCCAACCTTCATGCGTCCTACCGCTGTAAAAGCACGATGCGATGTGTCATACATAAAGTTTATCAATTTTTTTTATCTGTCCAATTTATACTTAAAGATGGTTGGAAGCGGACAGAGCAGCAGTTGTCAAGCAAAACGAGACTTGATTGGTCTCCGGCTTCATGGTGGCTAGGGATCTTTCTCAAACTAAGACTTGATTCTAGCAAGCAGAGCTATTGCCAAACGAAGCTAAATTCGATTTAGGCGAAAATCTTTACATATTGAATCATTAAATATGATTTGTCTCATTGAGACAAATATTCGGGGCAAAAGTTGACAATTACAATCCGATAGATGCATCGCTTGAACCAAATCACTACAAATGAGTAGAGACTCGAATATCTACAGCAGCCTCATAGTACGAACAGTATAATCAGATCAAAAATGTACACAGAGAGAACCGATAGATCCGAAACTCTCTTGGCAGAGCAGGTAGCTTTCTATATGTTATGTACTTCCATGGCAATAGGTGGTCATCTGTAGCGCTAGTTTTGTGAAGATTGAATACAAATTGGGCCAGTAGCAAGTGTAGAGGTGTTATACTCAAGTAAGTTTTACATCGTTAGGTTCGACTCACCTCTAAACCACATGATCAATGGACCCAAAGGACCAGATAAGTCGAGATCTGTTTTGCTCACTCTAGTAAATAACCGACTAGTATAAGGCAGCTGACACATACGGAGTGCAACGTCAAAAGGCTATCCAGGACATGAATCGATTCCACCAATAGAATTTGCGACTCCATTATCAAGAGTAGCCCTGGACAAGAACTTTATGTCTATCCTAGATCAACAGGCACTGCGTACGAGTACGGAGTAAGCCCTGAAGCAGAGGATTACCACGTGCTCGTATCTCTGACCATGTGGACATGAGTTGGCCCGTCGGTGGAACAAGATAACTAATACTGGATTCCATCTCATCTGCCTCCACAAGCATGGAACTGTTCCGGATAGGCGGTAATTGTAACAAGGTTATTCCATCCCACGAGGAAGATGTACCTGTACTTGGACTCTGATGAGGCGGTGACAGTAGTTCTCACAGGTATCCACCAAAGAATATTCCCCTGGCAAAAACTACAAAGGCCCAAGAATGGTGAGCGGAGAATTTCCATTCCCTTGACAGAGTGAGCCGTGTTGACATCCGTAAGTAATCGTACAGGTACCTTGACGATCTGTGCTACAGAGACCGCACTAGTATACGCTCAGCCGGGAGTTCTGTTCCGTACGACGCATAAATATATTAGGGACGGCCCGGTTATGGCGCTTCCGGATCTCCACTTGACCTGTTGCTGCGGGCGTCGGTTTCGGCGCCGTGATGATGATAATGGCGGTGACAGTCTTAGACAAGCGCTACAATAGCACGGAGTGCAAGCATCAATTGTGCTAGCAGACCGATACAACTGGAAGCGGAATGGTTGTTGCTTAAACCCTTGCGGACAGGGATACGCGTTGGTGATGCTTGTTGCTGCAGGCGTAAGCAGGGGGAGGGATTGATCCTGGACTGTGAGATGCTGGGGGCAGGAAAAAGCCCTTGCTCGCTCATGGATACTCTGCAAGGGACTCCTGTACCTGGATATCCTATGTATCATATGCAGACGCAAGATGCAGAGACATGGCTTAGACACGAGGACATCTGCAAGATGACGCTTTCCAAGACTGCGAGCAAACGTGGTATTATCCTTGCCCTCTCCGATCCTGCGTCATACCGCGTCAATATGAGTTGCCTGGCCAAGCATGGAGAACCGCGGCGGAGCGGCCGTGGGCACAGCCATCTTGGCTTTCGCAGCGAGAACCGAAGATTCGTGATAATAAGCACTCCCAGATTCTTGAAAGGCCATGTAGCTCGATTGAGCCCGGCTCTGTTTTGAGCTTCCGAATCTGATTGGGATCCTGGCGAAAGATCGGCAGCAAAAATAGCCAGGCTGTGAGCATGAACGACTCAATACGACATCAGCAATTGGATAGGACTCACCGTTACACCGACCGCACACGTGGTAGTCTATAATGATACTACAACTAAGTGCTACTGGTCTGATGGTTTCATTGAGTATATTTTTGGTGTCGGTCATATAAATAACAGCGAGGCATTGATAGCAGAGTCGCTTTCGGGAATAAGACTGTACCACCGGTCATTAGAAAGAGTTGATCCCATGCAGGAAACTTTCTTCAGGGCAGCTCAAAGTACCATCCCCTTTCTGAGACGAATGGGAGTGTGAGAAGAGGAATTGTAGAACACAGTACTAGCTAGATCACACTTACAGGCAGCTATTCTTCAACTCGCACGAGACAAACGAGGAATAGTCTTGTCTCACTCTAAAACATGTTAGATTGCGAAATAGTCGGCCCTTTGCCCATTAGCTCTCAAGCATCTAGTATAGCTTCAAGAACCGGCCACATCCTCTCAGCCCGCGGACTCCGCCTGTGGATAATTTACAAACAGCACCTGGGAGCCGAGCGTACATGTGAGTTCTGGACGAGTGCCGGTACCGGGGACCAAGTTTCGTACCCGAAAAAACTCTTATCCCGGACATCTCGGCCCCTTCCACGAACCCCCACACATTCCCCCTTTCCCCGGACTGTCACTTACAACACACCCCGCTTCAGTGCGACTGTGATCATGGCCATGGTTACTCTATTCCACTACACACGTGTGTCCCTCAAAGCCAGGGTGCCTGTAACTGCTCATCAAACAAAGGTAGCATCGTCCTTCAGTTGGCCCCGTCTTACGTCCCCGAATCCGAAGACCCAGGGCTCCTGTGCCCAAGCTTGAGCCCTACGAAATTAGGATTGCAACATGGTATTAGCGTACCTTGTAGTTCTTATCTCTGCATGGAGTAGAACCACTCAGTGGAGAGAAAATCCACAAGTACCAAGAATTCGGTTCAGCAGACATAGCATATTGGCTTAAGTCAGTGCCTTACGTGCCGCATACAACAGTGACCTTTACATGGTGAAGTCTGAACTGCAGAGTCAAGTTTAATGGTGGTTTATCCATTATGAAGCTGAGATTCATGAGAGTGATATACTGGCTGTTGTTGAATCCACAATATCTATCTATCTACATGGCTATACCATTGACACTATAGAACTTCTTAACATACATCCACCTCTGTTCAGGCCCAAGGTTCTGCTGCCAATTGACCAACCTCAACAAAATACAAAAATATAATCACAAAAGACACTGAACTCTCTTATCTCTTCTTACATGTCAATCCAGTTCCATCCAGTTTGCTTGTACATCTACCCCCTGCAAGCCGGGAAACGTTGGTCGTTGTAGAAGGCAGCCGTCTTGTCTCGCTTTCGATCATGCTCTTATAATTAACCAAATCTGCCACAAAAAACGGGCTAAGCAACCCATTCGTGAATTTGCTGGGTCTTCGAGAGTGGAACAGACTTCCAATATGATATTTCCCACAGTCACGATGAATCCCAGGTTGGCTGTCGCATCGACGACCTCTGGCATATCGGCGACCGCTGCCACATAGCCAATGACACTTCCGATAGTAGAGACCATAGAAAAATAGAGTGACATGAACTCGCGAAATGGATCGTTATCCTTATGTTGCTCAACCTTACTTAGACCGCTCTCCATCCAGATCATAGTTTGCAAGTCAGGGGGGAATTTGAAGGTGAGGCCATCAGGTTGGACAGAGCCCACCAAGCTGTTAAAACCTGGAATGTCGTTATTCTGTGCTCCAGGAGCCTCTTCATCTTCGGGACCCGTTTCATCGGTCTCCTTGGAGTTTGCAGCGTCTGAAGCAGAGTATCCGTCTACCAAGGAGACGTCACAGTCCATAGCAAAAGTCCAACACACCTGATCGTCAGGCTTTGATGGCGACATGCAGAGATTTCCACCATCGTAGTTACAGACTTGGTTCTTCTCTTTGGAGACGCTTTCATCGGCGTAGGGGGCTTCTAGAATCGTCCAGTACGCCGATTCTTCTTCCGTATCGTCTGGCCCATGTACAAATTTTGACAAGTCTAGATAAATAGGTTTGCGTATATTCGTAGTAGCGGTTTTATAATCGTTGCCGGTGGTGAAGCTAAAGGAGACCATGGGTTCATTCATCATGAGACAACTCGCTAAATCCAGATCGGAGTTTTCCGACCCATCGAGTGAACGAAACCCGTAATTAATGACACCTTCGAAGGTATTCATTCTCAAATCTCTCATAACTATTGGTTCTTCTAGGTCATTGTGTGTGGCAGTATCACAGAGAAGCGGCTGTGGGTTGGCATTGTGAAGTGCATTGGTAGCTGCCATGCTAGGGATAAAAGAACCCCAGTTCATATTAAAAAGCTCCATGACGCGGATAGAGAAAAGAAAAAAGGATTATAACAGCTTAAGACAGCTAAATGGACTCGGATGGGATGTGTGGCTTGGGAAGGAGAGACGGTGATGATGGTTCGAGGAGTATTCAAGGAACAGTAAGTAAGATGGCGATGTATTGGTAAACAAAAGGGAAATGTCTGGTGCGGGAGGCGACCATTGTTTTATTTACAGATCAAAAACTTAATGTCTTCCTGGCGTAGATATGTAGATATCCAAAACTTTATTATCTCGCCGTTCGTTATACTTTATCCCTCTATGTGTACTAAAATAATATAGTATTAGAAAAATCCAGAGGACTAAAGTATAGGACGCTTCTGCCTTTTCTAAGGGGCCGAGAATGGCAGTTCACATACCGGCTTTTAATGGTCGTGAGAGTACTACATGGAACTTACGCTATTAACACATTTATGTCCAATACAATCAGTAGGAAAACATGGTAACCTGTAGAATTACTCATTGCAAAATCTACATCTATAATCGAATCCGAGCCTCTGCACTGATAACATAAAACAGGGAAAAGAAGAAGCAAAATCTATCAGTAACAACAGAAATAAAACCCTCCCCTCTCTTCACTAACGTACCCTCGCTCAACTTACTCTTTTTGAATACATCCATTCAGCCCAGTGCAAGATTTTGGTTATCGTGTCACACATTTTCCCTTTACCTTCTCAATGGTGTCCATCCTCGACTTGATGCCGTCGCCCAACTTAGCCACTTCATCCCCCTTCATCCCTCGTCGGATGTTCGCCGCCTTGTTGATCTTGGCCACATCCCCAAGCGCAAGCGGACTCAATATGAGATCGAATATAGCCAGTGGTGCGTTATGTGGATCGTCGACAATGGTGTAAATGTCCATTCCGGCATTGCCCGCGGCTCCAATCAAGCCCATAATGACTGCCACATCGGCAAGTTCTGCCACAGAGCCAACAATCTCTCCAACAATCGGGATGAAGAGAAAAATGGCTGTCAAGAACTCAAGAATAAATGCCTTCCTCTTCTCTTCCTCAATTTTGTCTGCGATGCTTTCCACCAAGCCCATCTTCTCTGTGGCAGAGGCAATCATGAAAATCGGCATGCTGAGACTGTCAATCAAGTCGGAGCCTTCGCCAATCCAGCCGTCAAGCTTGAGAGTAGTGATGATGCTATCGATCTGCGGCCCAAGGGTTTCCGCATTTTCGAGGCCCTTCTTTACGATTTCTTTGGGGTTGGCTACATCTGAAGCAGAGTATCCATTGATTAAGGGCACATTGTAGTCAATGCCAGCGGCCCAACACGAGTCGTCTGGTTTAGACGACGGCGCACAGGGATTCCCACGATTATAATTACCAATCTCGGTCTTGTTTTTCGAGATGCCTGTATCCGACTCCATGTCTGCATAAAAGCCGGTTTCGTTGGAAAATGTCCAGTAAACCGACTGCTCATACGGGTCATCCGGCCCATATCCTCGTTTGGAGTAATCTGGTGGACAGGGCTCCGATTCGTTGTATACCTTTGTCCGCAACACTGGGGTTGGAGGACCAAAATCGCCAGAGTGAACATAGTGATAGCAATCATCGTTGAAGCAATAATCACACTCGCTAGGGCGCCTCTGGTTGAGCTTACACGAGTCGCAACAAATCGCAGTCTCGGCAACTTCACACGTGAAGTAATTTGTTCCGTTGGTATTGACCCAATTGCGAAGCGTAGAACCTGCCTGCGCGGCGACTGATTGAGCATACACATTGAATTTGTCGTCATATCCATGAGACATCATGTCCGTATAATTGCTCAAGCTTTGTTTGAGCAGGTGATTGAGCGCAGTCAATGTATAGAGTGTTATACAGTGTTCGGGGATGTTTCCAGTTGCTGCGTCTAACGCTTCCATTGTTTCGTATTCGTCGTTGCATGGTGGCAGAGGATCTGTATATGGGAGATCACCGTCATCGTCGTAGGGATCGAGACTATCATCGGTGTATTCCTGGAGATCAACGGCCCAATCCACTGTGCCGCCAAGGTTGGATGCCTTGTAAAGGGCTGTACGGAAGGCTTTCGATTCATCCGGCATATAGGCCGCCCAATTTGATCCGTAAAATACCATGTATGTGTCACTTTGTGGGTCGTAATCGACGCGAGTATCATTGGAGTCCAGGTCGATGATTTCTTGGAGTTCAGCATTGGAGATGTAGCCGGCAGTCCCTGTGCACTCTCCTGGAGTCGCCGTTGAGTTGGGGCCTTTGAACCTACACAAAGGATCGTTCAAACTCTTCTCGCACGCAGCTCTATTGACCAGGCCAAATGACCGCGCGTAGCTCGAAAGCCCTACAACAACTTTGCGGGCATCCACGCCTGCTTTGGTGACTGTAGTAGCGCTTGTTAGTCACGCAGTTTGCCACTCATTTTGGCATTTGAAAGACTACTTACTCATGGCTAGTGCGTATTTTGTTTCTGTTAAGTTCGCTAAAACACAACGTGTATGTTAGCTGATGCGACACAACCTCAAGGCGACGTGAACTGACCGTGCCCTCGTAAGCAGTTTCCAGAGAGACACCCATCTTGAGCCCAGTGGCTGTCGTAGTCCCATTGTCCTGTAGTCGAGATCAGTACGCACTAGGTCGAAATCATAACACCGATGAAAACCACGAAACTGGCAGCCGACAATGAGTATGGTGTACACACCGTGAAGATCATATGTCATGTATACAATATAGTCAACCACTTTAGCCATGGCCGCGATGGGGAATGACTTTAGATACCAGTAGGAAGCCGGTGCCGCTATGGACAGAGATTTTGACGCAGGCAGCTTGGCTCGAAGCTTTTGGAGGAAAGTGAGGTAGTTGGGTCCATCGGATTTTAGACCGGCTGGAATCCCAGGGATATCAGGCGCCTGTTATCATGTTTCAGTCATCAAAACCTGCTAAACATATTCATCTGCAAAAGAATGGATAGCTTACCCCTGGATACTCCCAATCTATGTCAACGCCATCAAAGCCTTTTTGGTTGAGATATTTAACAATACTATCCACAAACTTGTTGACATGAGTTGGATACATGGCTTGGCGTAGTTTATCGTAAGTTGCAGGCGACGTCGAGAAACCCCAGCCACCAAATGACAGAATTCGTTTCTGAGGAAGCTGGAGGAAATCGTCCAGTTGCTTGTAAGTATCGTTAACAGTCACTTGGAAACTGTTATCGATGGAAGCGAAAGCCCAGTGAGCATGCGTATAATTTGTATCGCGGATGTCCTCAGCTCTGTAATTGAGACAGGGGCGATCCCAATTCCACGACTCGTAATACGCAATATTTAGGAACGAAGAGGGAGGTTTAGCACTGCGAGAGGGTTTCTCCTTTAGCAATTTCATCGACAGGGCAAATATTTGGAGATGACTTACTTATTCTTTATTGCAACGCCGCAGTTGGATATGCAACCGTTCTTCCCTCGCGGCGCTGTTCCAGGATTGCCCTTAGGACCGTCCGCGGGAGTGCAATAATCTGGCGTTATACCGCATTGCCCCCATATGTTACAGCAACTGTTAAGAGGACATGGATTCAAGCTCTCAAGCTTCTGCCTTGGAGAAGGAGGCTTTGTGCCGGGTACAAGTGGACCACACACTGCGTTGCTCACTGGCGCTGGCAACGGAGGAGACCCTTTGCTAAGACAAATTTTTGTACCGATGGGGAGGTTTTTGCAGCCATTCCAGCCCCAGGTGGTCTTGTCGTTGAGCTTATCCAGTTGATCTGTTTTCAGGCCATTGGAAGCGGCAATTCGAAAGCAATCGTCACCAGGCTGGATAGTGTAAGTGGCACAACTGCCATCTGGATGTGGCTTCGGAGTGATGACTGGTAGGCTTCGCTTTGAACAGCAACTCATCTGGCCAGGTCGTAGACCGGTCTGACCCCTGGCTAGACGATGAAGAGCACTTGTATTGCTTGAACCAACCAGTCTGTTGTAGATACAAGGTGTGGAAGCCTTGAATACTTCGATGTCATGAAGTTTTATTGAACGTTCTTCCACATCTTTGACGCAAGTGGCTTGGTTCCATAAACGGATAGCGTTTTGAACAGCAGAAAAATTTCCCTCAGTGTTTACAGCCACCCCAAGAATGTGATCGCCATTGCGGCCTTTATCGCACAGCTGAAGATGTACGTTTTTGGGTGGTTCAATTGAAGGCGTGGCGTTGAGCTGTTCTTGGACAAGACGCAAGACGTTTGGAATCGTCTTGACTTTCTCGATGGCGGGGCCACTATAGATGGCAACGATAGCCCCCTTAACATGACCGACGAGAAAGTTGGTTTCGCAATGTACTGGATTCATGAACTGCTGTTGTAAGAGATTAATTGTGTTTCGCAAGTCGTTCATAGTAGCTGTGCCACTGTCATCACTAATAGACAAGTCAAAGGAAGCCGTGGATTTATCAGCCGTAAAACAGATCGAAGGGCCTAGGTTAACTGGTTCGGTTCCTTCAAATGAAGAATGCATTGGATAAGAAAGACTATCGTTGAGAGTACATGATCTCAGCTTTACCGTGGTGTTTGAGTCTTCCAAGAGCGGGTGGATGGCAAAATCCAACAGGAGTGGCTGCTCGCAGATCCCAACTCGATCAAACGAAGAAAAGACATTCCAATGTTCCGGAGGTCCGTAACAATTGGCAGGACAAGCGCGCAAATGCAAATTCGTTTCGTGGGGAGCGCCGGTAGTTGCCATGCTCAGGGCGTAAGGGCCCAAGAGCATAGCAAGCAGCAAGATACGCATTTGGAGGAATGGAGTGAAGAAAACGGTAATAGGGCGTTGAATGTATTAGGGAATGTGGAGATGAACGAAGAAATAAAAGATACGAAAAGTGGCTATGAGACAATGAGGGTGGTAGAAAGAGAAGGCTGGTGTAGTGTGGTGGCAGTTGAGAAGATGTGCGTGGTTCGTAGGAGCAAGATATGGGTACTTTAGAGATGAATAAATATACAGGTAAATATTTACACTTGGTTTTATGTTTGTGTTCTGAGTGAGTGGCCCACTCCTATAAGGCCCATCAGCAGGGGCTTCACGGTAGCAAATGATCATCACTCTCCAGCATGAGGTCACGTATCCTCCTTTCCCTGTCGTTCTCCCTTATTTGGCAGCGCTGTAGCATCATTTCTTCGTACGTGTGTTTGTAAAGCTTCAACTAGCATGGAATGTGGCCGCATATGGGCATGGGCTTGTCTCGAATCTGTTTGTTCGGGAAAGAATACGACGGACAGGAGTCGTCAACTGTGAATTTGTAGATACCTCACCATTGTCTGAGGCAGCTGTCTGTAAGCATAGACTTGTTTCAAATCTGCTTGTACTAAAGATGAGCAGGCTGAATCGAAGCCGAGAGCTGGGGTCATTGTTTGCGTTCTTTCCTGTGATCGAATCATGAATCATTTGCGGCTTGACATATTAGGCAGCAGTGATAGTCCTGATAGCAATTGATTGCCCAAGAGTCATCAAGAAACGGAAAAAAAAGATTGTCCGTTTATTTGCGTAACAAATTCGTGGTAAAGATTGGCAGCAAAGTGGGAGAGTTGCAAGTACGAGAGATGTTGTCGGTATCAAAAGTTCATAGGTATATGTTTCACAAAATACATGAGTATTAGAGATATGAACTACAAGACATTTGTTTGTCTTGATGAAATTGAGTTGCAGCTTGTTCCCTAAAGCATTCCGTGACTCCATCAGCACATTCACTGTTCTATGTATGCTTGTCATAGCTTTGGTCTTATTCACATCATATACTCACTTGAAAGAAAAGTTGAAGGATCAACTCTAGTTTTTCAGTCAATACAATGGTAGATACATGTAGAGTAACCGGCACGCATAAAAACCCTTCCATATTCCCTGTTCCGTATTCCAGATTACAAGAATGGTGGGCGGGTCAGCGATCCACGCCGCCGCAACTTATCAGGATTACTCCTACAAACAAATGCTGACGATTCATGACTGCCGTCTATTGATGCTGTCTGAAACCGATAAATGGTTTCAGCCTACACAAAGGATCTTGTCACTTGGCCTTTGTTTTCGTATAGGCAAGATCCCGAAAATGAGGCGCCATGAAGGACCCTCTGGCGCCAAAACGAGGCCCTTGCACGCGGATATTTTCCACTTATGTGTTTGCCCTCGCCAACAATGAAGATGGCACTGGATTCGGCAAGATGGCGGAAGCAAGAATTTGCGGCCAAAAAAAAGAGGCGCGAAACATTTTCGCTTGGGGTAGCATTGCCGTTGATGGATTCAACTTGCGTACGGTTCCTGCACTCACTGGTAGTGGTGGCTGCGATTCGCTCCCAACTACATATATAAGCCTCTACCGGCGAATTAAGAGATATAGAAAGAAGCAAATCTGTTTCAATCGCGATATCTTCTGTGAATAGAAACATAACTCTTGTTCTTTTGCTATCTCCCTGATCAACACTTCTTTTTCTTGCTTCACGAACCCGGCGTTGTATTGCTAACTCCCCAAGAATTATTCCAGTATTGTGTTGCTCTGTTCTCAAGACCAGCCACTATCAAGCGCCGAGTTGGCATTGCCGTCTCATTATGAATATGATGTGGTTCTTCCTCGCCATCTTTATCTCTTTCGTGCAACAATCTTGTGCCTACAGGGAGCGTGGCATCGCTGAACGGTATGTATGACAGCCTGTCTGAGAACCCCTACTTCACACAAATGCTCCTCTTCCTTTAGATTTCCCTGACAATCCATTTTAGAGGCCTATACTATATCGCCTATCTCGCGGAAGGGGAGCTGTACAAGCTTGACAAATCGACAAAATTGACGATAGCTCCAGGCTGCATTGGTGCAAAAGGCGGACGGTGTAGTTTTGACGAGCTTATGCTATAGTATGACCATCCATACCCCCTTTTCCAATTTTCAAGACAGCTTTCACTAAGTTTATGCACGTCAGTATTTGGGCGCCAAAGGAGGAAAACGCTCGAAAGCCAAGCAACGTTAAGCCAGATTCTAAGCACACTATCACAGGCCTTGGTGATCTTGACAAGGCCTCGGCCTTTAACACGTATATCAAGAATATAGAAAAAGCTCGATTTAACACAGAGGAACACCTCAGTGGTGAGATTGACGTCAAAAAGCTGATGCCTGGCAAAAAAGATTTTTATGATGCTCTTTCATCCGCAGGCGACCCTATCGGAGCTCTTGCAGCAGAGGTAGACAAGCAGAAAAAGGCAACCAAACCAGATGACAGAAAAGCATTGGAACAGCTCAAAGAAAAGGACAATTTACTTAAATGGGGAGAAGCTGCGGCATTCTATGTCAGTGCTCTCCGAGGAAAGGATCAAGACAAACACAGGCGCTCCTTTCTCGAAAAGTACTTTGAGAGACATTTCCCCGCAGAAGAAGATAAAAACAAGATCAAGATTGAAATGATGGATGTGGAAACTCCTATGAGGCAGAAAAAGCTGAACGAAGACAAGGTTAAGCAGAAGGGTAAGGTGCCCGCGTCCGAATTGGAACCTCAAACGGTGCTCATGATTGATTTCACGAAGACCATTGAGCAGAACAAGGGAAAGCTGGATGGATTCGAAGAGAAACTCAAAGAAGCGAATGAAGCGTTCATGGGGATGGAAAAAACTGTCAACGGAAAGGTGGAGAAGTTCAACGAGGCGCACAAAAAGGCCTTCATGGCATCCAAGATGGCGACTTCGGCCACGGGATGTACTCGAAAAATCCCTCGCGAGTTGAAGAAGCGGAATGCATTGGCTGAGTTGAGCTCGCGATCTCCTAAGGCGGCCAAGTCGATGAGGGTGAAAAGTCAGAAGCTTGGCTTTTCTATGTGACACTCTTCGCAGTTGATGGCAAAGGTTGTGGGTGTACTTGTAGTTGATGGGGTTTCGTTGTGGAATATAGTTAGAACGGTGTAGAAAGTGATAATATGATAGTAGATATACGAAGTTTACAATAGACAACAAAGAGGGCGGAATATCTGGTCCAAAATAGGAAGACTATTGCTCTTATAGATTAAAAACTTAATGTCTTACTGGCGTAGATATATAAATACCTAAAACTTATTATCTCGCCGTTCGTTATACTTTTTTTCCCCTTTATGTATACTAAAATAATATAGTATTAGAAGAATCTAAAAAATTAAAGTGTAAAACGCCTCTGCCTTTTCTGATAGGCCGAGAATGGCTGTCGGGGGAAGGAATCATGGTATTTGGGTTTCTTCGTTTCTTCCTCTTGGCTATAAGTTCCTTAATTCGCCTTTCATCTTCTTCCTTTACTTTCTCTTTCAGAGCGCCGTTTATCCTATACATCAGAGAAATACACTTCAACAATCGCTTTCACCCAATTTCAAGATGTCAACGCCCCATCTCGAGTCCAACGGCATCCAGCAGGCGATTACCTTGCTTCGCACCCTTTATGATGAGCTTCAACGGTATCGAGAAGAATGGCGAAGGTATCGGGATATACAAGTGCAGCTTTTAGTTGAGTTGAGAGCTAGGTTTGTCTATCATTTAGATACAGATATTCCAGCGACTGTTGCTAACATTCATTTATTCCAGGGCCCGAAATGCGGATAGTCAAGAGCACAATGGGCTCATGCAACGCTTTTCCGGCACAAATGTGTCTCTGATTCCATTAGCCGATCTAAGGACCGGAGAAGTCATTGAACGATTTCCCGCCACCGCGGAGGAAATTTCTGCGCTTGATGGTAAGTAGTGGTATTCTTTTCACCAAACTTACTTGTCGCAGCAGCATATGGGTCCAAACATGCTGTTCGCAAATGCATCTTCTTTATAAAATTAGCGAGTAATAATTCACGCCTTTAGGCAATGAATCACGAAGAATTCTCGAAGCTCTTGGACTTCCTACTGAAGGGGTGCCGCTGATTGTTATGCGATCAATGATTCTTCAACTAGCAGCAGGACGTGCGTAGCTTGTGGCGTCCTCGCGATTTGAAACGTGAGATGCCCTCATTTCTCAACATTGCATCTTCCTCAGAATCGGAGTTTTGGTGTCTTAGATAGTTGCCGAAAATAACATGAAGCTGGGTGCGGGTAGGCAGGGCGTTACAGAGGGCGGGTACTCGACGAGAGACTTAACTGAGGTATCTATTCAAGTTCAATGTTTGCTATTAATTTTCGCATTGATCATTACACTACATGTACCATGGCAATATGCAAAGAGCCCACGATTTATCTTGAATATAGCCCATGGTTTATCTTCAGTATGTTATATATGTTGGAAATAGAAGACGGTAAATAAACGATGGATTTTGTTATTGTAACTATCTAGACTAATCGACGTCCCCAGACGGCGGTTGTCATGTACTCTCGCTAATAAGGTTTGCCTGTAAACTAGATCTACGTTTGTTCTTTCCAACAATATTCCCAATGTCCGCCTCTGTCCCTATACCTTCTTCGCCTCTTGTCCCAGACGTCCAGAAACAAGCAGCACTATCTCCTAACTACGGATACAATTCTAGATGGCTAAATAACTATTGTCCCTCTTATTGTTCGGTGACTCATAATCTCAACTGACTCAATCTTTAGCCAGTGTCGCACGGTCTCTCAGCTTTGACAATTCCTGCATTCTCCCGACTCTCAGCCTCTACGCTATGACCACTCCACTGCCTCCGTTTGCCACCGAACAAACAGTATTTCAACTCAAATCAAGGCTCCAAAACTTTCCAATTGACATTGATCATCACACTATTCATCATACCGTCCATCATGTACACCGACGACTCAGATTCGTCGACAGAGCCTATTTGGACATACGCCCAAATAAACGTGGTTAAAGCATACAAGCAGTCTAAGGAAGCTCATGTCAGGCAGCTCATAGAGAATGGCTCACCTATTCCGCCTATCGTCCTGTGGGGTGCAGTCGACTATGACAGGCCAGAAGTAGTTGATCTACTTCTGTCTGCTGGAGTAGACCCCAATCGACGCCATGCCAAAGCCGAGGAGGTCATGTCTCTGGGTGAGCATGACTGGCTTGACAGATTTCCGGATCGGAGGTGTGAGAACGACCGTGATACCAAATTCCCCCTCGGTCTCGCTGCCGAGGCACCATCCTATGAGGGAGGAAAAGAGAAGGCGTGTCGCATGGTTCAATCACTTTTACGCCATGGTGCAGATCCATATGCCGTTTTCGCAGATCAATTGGACGAGCCGGCAGATCCGGAATTAGAAGTGCGCCTCGTGTTCCCCGGACAAGAGATTAGCCAGCCGCAAGATCTAATGGCAATGGAGCTTCACCGTGTGCAAAGAGCAGAAAAGATGCTCGACGAGGACAGTGATGCAGATATGCCGTGGAAAGACTTTGGCCTCCGCACCGTCATTCATTCTATTTTGGAGCAGTCTGGGTATTTTCAGGCTTTTCTCGAGTCTCCTGACTTCATGAGGAACTTGAAGCTCGAACACCGTGACCCTCAAGGCCGCACGCTTTTCCTATCAGCCTGTCGCAGCTCGAGGGGAGCAGATGCATTGCTTGATAAGCCACAACACTGGAATTCCAGCGACGATGTAAAGTTGGACCGCATGGGCGAGCATCTCGTCACGTTTCCACCTGACGTCTACTCGGAGCCATCTTCAGAGGAGGCTCTACCTCGAACGGCAATCCAGGCGTTGCTGAAGCTGGGCGCGGATCCGCTGGCCACGGATAACCAAGGCAAACACGCCTTGCATCAGCTGCTGGATGCACCTTCGTGGGCTTTCCAGGAATCGCCAGTGAACCATCAGACATTGCGCTATCTGACTGATCGATTTCCATCCCTAACCAACCAGCCCGATCACAATGGATTGACTCCGATCCACTCATCCATAAGGCGTATGTGGTCGTATGGTATCGGCTATTCATATGAAGGGTTTTACCCTCTTGAGGATACTGTTATGGACCTAATCAACGCCGGCGCAGATGTCCATGCGCGGGATGCCCAAGGCAACACTGTCATTCACTATCTCGCAGACAGCTTCTTAGATGCGTTCAGATGGGGCGAGAGCCGCAGGCAGCTATTCTACACACTGCTCGACAAGTATCAATGCGCCTCGTACATCAATTTGGCTAATAATATGGGCCTGACACCTATTCAACTTGTGCTCTCTTACACACCCCGCAAGAACAAGGACCACGTCACGCAATGGTCCGGAGTTTGGCCTGAACCTCCCGAGATGCAGATGCAGTCCGTAGACGAGGAGCTTTTCGGCAAGTTTGACGGCCTCGGCATTGACTGGACGGTCCGTGACAAGTTTGGGAGGACGCTGCTACACGGCGTCGCCCGGACCGATTCTCTGGTGGATAGAGCACTTTGGAGGTGCAAGTATTTGGTCCAGAAGGGCATCGACCCCTTGGCTTGTGATTTTGAGGGGAAGACGGCTCGGGATCTGGTTCCCGATGATAATACTAATCTGAGGATATCAAAGTTTCTGGAGGAGGCTGAGCAAGCCGCGGCACACGGCAAAGCTTAGCACTGCGCCTTGGAAACTGTCAGTGGAGGTGGCTTGAATTTGCCTTCGTATTGTGTTTGAATTTGCTTGTGATTTACGGGAACTTTGATCATAGTATCTTGAAACTCTTAGTACTTTTGCTTTAGTAAAATCCTACGTATGATTTGTTGAACTTTTACTTGGGTTGTCATTTACTAGAAGAATACTGGAAACAGTCTAAAGAATCCCTTCGATGCTCAACAGTGTGGAGAGCAAAGCTAGTTTGCTGATCTTCTTTCAATCCAGTAACCACACCGAATTCACCCATCATCCTGTTACTCAGTCAAGTTTCACATAGAAATAAAAATAAAACTTCCCATATAGGGTAGCTCCCAGCCAGCAGCCGGCGGAAAGAAACAACAAAAAGCACATGATGCCGCGGATACAACATCCAAGCCTGGTATAAGACGGCTTCCGGCGGGCGTCAGCCAGCAACAAAGATTCCATATAGATGAAGTGAGAGAGCTGAGCTGAGCTGAGCTCGAAATCCATGTCTCTGCATATGCAGCCACAAAGGAAGCGACATGTCCTGCATGCATGGAAATCCCACCAGCGGGACGGAACCCGGTTTCTCGCGACGAAAAGGAAAGACGAAGAAAAAATTTCAATAAAAAAAATAATAAGCATAGCTAAAGGGCCAACGTGTTACCAATCCTTGACGAATCCTTCTCGAAACACTCGACAAGGACGGCATGCCGCATATTGGTCCAACATTTTGCTTCAATCTGCTGATCTGGAAACGGGAAGGGGGCCTGGGCTTGTCTTCTGGCCCTCCTAGGTAAGCTTCTAGACCCATGCTTACAATAAGGCGATAATTGGTCACTGCATTCCATCTCTGGCTCTCGCTGCTGTCCTCACGTTTTCTGCACGTTTTCTGCTGCATTTCTCAAGCTGTTGGTCCAATGCTGGATTGTTGCATTGATCCTGCATTGCCGCATCAGGAAATCTGGTGCGTGCCCTCTTTTCTCTCGAGGGGCGGGCGTAAATAGCCTCAATGTCGTCTTCGTCGTAGTGTACTCGTACAGTAGTACTGTACCTGTAGCATCCCGTCCGCCTATCTGCTTGGCCTTTTCCCTCGTCTCTTCGCCTCGTTAATTTAAATTAATGGAAGCCAAATTAGCTTCTACCTCGACTTACGCAGAATGGCATAGTGGGAACTCACGATGCGCCAATGGAGTAGCTCAATTTGGATTCCTGCAGACCTGTCCCGGACGACGCTCTTTTTTTGGCTTCTCACTCTTTTGCTTGGGCACTAAAACCAACAGCAGCCAGCAAATGAAACGGCCCAATGGCTGCTGTCCGGGGTTGCGGACCCCCTTCGGTTGCGTTGCGAAAACAAGTTTAGTCACAGAGTAGCACGATTTGCTTCCAAAGTTGCACGATTTGCGATTGGAACTGTATGATTCTGCGACTCGCTGTCGAAACCTCCCCCCGTCTTTGCACTGAAGCTTCTTTGGTGATACCGTTTCGAAAGAAGAACCGTAGGGGAAAGGGACCGCCGGGAGCCCAGGCCTAGGTCCAAAATCCAACAGTGTTAGTCCAAACGCCACCAATCAAGTACACAGCCGATCTCAGATGGACGTGGCTGTATGTAAATGAGCATGGCAGAAGTTCCTCCTCAGACAGGAACGCCTTCTCCGCGTTGTTGGGCCAGGCATCACATATGGCAAACGGCACGGTAATTTGACTAGCTGATGATTGGGGGGAACGGGGTATAATGGGGATTGGCAATCACAATCCCCAATACAGGCTGATGTCGACAATTCACCGTTCCTCGCAGGCAGAATCCTGACGGCCGATATCCGGGGAGATAGGTTTTGGATGAACGTCTAGGTCAGGGAGATAAGCGACCAGATACATGGAAATTACAACTGATACGACGACTCACCACTAGCAGTAGTACGCCGGTGCTCTGGAGGGCAGGGATCTACAGAAACCAAGAGCTGCTTTTCGTGAGGGAGCTTACCTGGAGCAAGGGCCATTGCTTTGTGTTGCCATCCTCTAGGAACGAGACCACGGGGCACGGTAGCATCGTGAGACGCGTAAATCTAGTGCCGAGATTTATCGAATGCGAGCGTCCATCTTCGTATCATCGTCGGAAGCCTCCAGCGTGCCTGCAGCAGCCACAGAGCAAATATAGAACCGGCATCCTTCCCGCAGCTTGGGCCGCCACGAGCACGCACGGGCTCTTGCTCAGAGTCTGCGACGTGTACTTGTCGTACTCATACGCAAGCAATCGGGCAGCGGTCACTGGCATGCCGCTGTTGCAGGTACTAACCGTCGGCTTGGGACTGTTTAGCACGAGCGGAGCTTCGCTGGGGGATCCCTGAGTGCCTCACCATGATGGAGATGCTGGGCCATGGACCATGGCCCGGAACGGCTCCATCCTCGTCCATGGACCACTGACCGTCTTGTCTTCATGCTCCATCCTTTTGCTTCGTACAAGTGAGTATGTAACCTGTACGAGCGAGGCACGAGCGCTAGCAATTGTGCAATGCAATGCCGAAAGCTGCAGCCTGGAAAACCCCTCACGAAAGGAGGAGTAAGTGGAAAAAAAAAAGCACCGACGAAAATCAGAGCAAGAAGTGGAAAATAATCCGTCTATTCAGAGCCGCATAGGAAACAGGTATGAGCCCGTAGAGTAGCAATTGACCCGGAACTTGATGGTTCTCGCCGCCCCGAATGAGACGCCGGAGCCTGTCGCCTCTTTTTCTGAGCAGCGATCACAATTGACAAACAATGGGTGGCTTTCCCGTTTCGACAGGACGGCTGCTCATCGTGGACCTTTGGTCGGGCTTGTTGGAGCACGGCCGGACGGGGGGCCATGCTCGTGTGCCAGGAGCAGACTAGGCCTCGAGCCAGACGTTTCACGACTGCTGTCCGGCCCGGAGAGCCAATCCCTGCTGATCAAGAGCGTTTTGGCGGGGGCGAGCGAGTCCTGGCACTGTCGTCTTGTTGTTTCTTGATGGCCTCGAGAGCTAGGCAAGGCGTGACATGGGCTTCCCTGGCAGTCAATCTCGAGCGAGTTTTTTCGTGTCCGCCCCCACCCATGTCTTGTCTGTAGGGCAGCCTCTCGATTCGACAGCGGCCCCTGCTTTGTAAGAGCTAGTTGGCCGTATTTGGTGCTTGCGACCAGATTGCATGTTGTGATGCTGGATTGTGATTGTTATCGCCGTTCTCGTGGGCTCGTACGTCACTCTACAGCGGACGTCAGCTCTGTATCCGATCCGAACAGGCGAGAGGGCTCGTGTTCCATTGCTGCTGTGTTGTGTCGTGCTGCTGTTGTGTTGCGCGTACATTCGATACGACGCCGCACAACGCAAGCAAGAAGCCAATATTCATGCAGAAACCCCAAATGCTCCGGCCGCGGTGTGGAGGCTGAGCGAATAAAAGCATCGTTGAGCGATGGCCAACTTTCGTCTTCGTTCCTGCATATGCACGCCGTAGAGGATGGAGGGGAAGCTGGCCGCATATCGCCGATTACTTGCAGGCTTGTACCTGTACGAGGTTTGGCCATGGCTGGAGCTAAACCCATTGGTCCCCTTGTGTGACGGGCTAGGTCTAATTGGTGCCGAGTTAGGGATCAATGTCCCTGTACATGCTAGCGTCGAGCCTGTGAAGAGCCAAGATTTGCTTCCAAGACAAAACAAAACACACCAGGTAACGTTGATCCCAGCTATGCCTGACCTAGGTAAGTACCTATAATGGAACGGAATATTGATGGGATCAATAGCACCTGCATCGAGGTGCTACTAAGCTTACCAGTCATACTACTAGGTAGGTACTAACATCTACAGCCATGAGGTGCTAAAATCGGCGTACCTGGCAGCTTGGACTAAAGTATCACATCATTCATTCACTTGCAAGGCTACCAATACTAAGATACTGGGTAATTTACCTTGTACCTGCTAGTAGATAGAAATCTTGAGAGCTGTCAAAGCCAGAGCAGAGGCGCAGATACGATAAACAGACACATGTACAGGTACAGGCACTCCGTACTGCACACCGATTTGTCCCCCTCGCCCAGGGTAAGAGTTTGCTCAGCGCTCCTGCAGCGCCGACCCGACGCTTCGGATTGGGCCGCTGCTCAGTAGCGCCACGCAGATCCTTGCCGTCTGGCCTCTCCGACGCGTGGACGGGGAACAGAGCTGCTGGGGCTCCTGCCAGAAGGATTACAGTACGATACTGTAGTGTAGGAAGGTACGCTGTGTTTCCCAGGTTGGTACAGTAAAGGTCCAGGTACAGATACAGATACTAGTAGGTAGCTGATACAGATATACAAGTGCCCGAACAGGACAAGCACAAGTCCTTCAACAACGTGGTCCTTCAACAACGTGGAATGGCTCTCCTCCTCATCAGTGTTGGCTGTGCCCTGGCCGGAGCTCTCGATGAGAACTGTCCTCGTACTAACGGCACTGACTGCATCCTAGCGCAGGCACAGACAGGTACGAGTACAGGTACGAATGCTCTCCGTTCGTGCCTGGTACCTTGGCGTAGGCTAGCGCGCTGCTCCTCCCACGCCAGCGACGGAATCCTTCCGTGCGCGTTGCTTTGGGCTTAGCCCGGCCCCAGTGCCAGTACGGGCACAGATACAGGTACAGCGACAGGTACAGGTACCTGTTTCGCGGGTGCCGCACCGCCCTCAACGGCCATCGCCAGAATCCATCGCCCATTTATCGATCGGCCTTAGCTCCAGTGTCTTGTCTTGGGATCTTCATCTTCAGCTGCACGGCCAAAATGAGACACGCCGTCTTCAGCGCCGCGCTGTCTCAGACCCGGCCGGAAAACCGCATGCCTTCGCCTTCTAGAAGCACCCACAGAAGGGCGTCGACGATATTGTAAGGAGCTTTGGGGGACTCCGTGCGATTCCACGCCATCGTACGCGAGCGGTCCTTTGCTCATCTCGCGATGCTTCCATTTCCAACCACTCGACTCGACTCTGCTACTTTTGCGCTCCGTACGAGGTCGCGTTCCTGCAGCTCAGGCATCGCACGCTCTTGTAGCAGCTGCAGGTTGCATCACGCTTAAATGCGGTTGCATGGCTCGCACATGTTTGTAGCCTTGTCCGTCACACGAGCCCGAGGGTGCTCGCAAGCCTCTCTTCCGCACTGCACTCCGGCCTCGTCCATACAGAGCTGGGCTCAGTCATTCCGGCTTGTTCGTGCAACTTTGCCTGTCCTCACCGGCCCCATCGGTATGCAGACAAGGTGCCCGGCCATCCCAGCCTTCGGTAGGATGCAGTATCCCAGACGCTTCAGGGGTCCCACGACCCTGTCGGCCGAGAGACCAACAGGGAGCTATTCCCCAGCACCATCGTCTCCATCAGGCCCCCCATGTTGACGACGCTACTCTCGACGAGGTTCCGCGGTCCAATCTCCTGACTGACCTGGGGTCAAGGATAGCCCCCAAATTTGGGAATTTTAGCAGCAACACTCTGTCTAGGGCCCTGGAGGGAAGCCCTCGCTCGTGATTCTCTGGCCCAGCTCATCTCAGCTCAGATATAATATACCAGGACCGCTACTTTCGTGCCTCGTGCTGAGCATATCCACTTCACGCTTCGCCCTGGCCGAACTGTCGATTGAGTTCATCACCAGACTCCCCTGGAACAATCTTCATACTCATACCTGTATGGAGCACGGACTATCATATCCTTACAGGTACTCATACGAATAGCGGAGCCAAGTGTTAAAAAAAAAAAAAGGAAAGCACCAAAAAAGAAAAGAGGAAAAAAAAAACAGGCCCCTCATCGCCTTGCTTCACCCTGGATCAGCCAGTCTCGCCGCAGATCCCCAGAGGGCATGGTCTGTCGTCGCCCTCCCCAGCCCTTGACTCGCAATGTGGAGCATGAATGCCATAGCCTTCTATGCTGGCGGCCCAGCGCCGCAGCAAGTTTCCAGGGCCAGGCCTCAGACGTCTTCCTACTGGTACTTGAATAGGTCGTCGACGGCACCTTCTTCTCCTAACCTCGACAACCATCCATCATCCGAAATGTCTCCCATGAGTGCCGCCGAGTTTTTCGAGCCTGCCATGGACAGGCCACCCTCCCCAAGCAGACTTCGGCAGCTGAACTCGCAGATGAGGCGAGCCTCGCAGCTGCGCCGCCAGAACGGCCACCGCACCGCCGCGTCGGCTTCAGTAGCTTCCAACCTCGAGAATCCCGGGTGGGAGCAAACTCTGGAGAACCTGTCACTTGGCAGGCGAGCTTCTGTAAAGTCCACCGGCAGCAGTGCCCATTCGAGAGAGCGCTCAGATAGCATCTACGGCTTTGGCAAGAACCCCTTCCATCGGCGAGTGAGATCCAAACGCGAGAGCAGCGCCAACTCCTCGTCAGCTAGCTCCATGTATTCAGCTGAAGCACCACCGGACAATGCCATTGCTCCGCCCCCCAAAGAATCATTCATACAGGCCTTTGCTCGACGACGAGCTTCCCGAGACGACACCGCAGCAGCACAGAAGAAGCTACAGATCTCGGGTCCCTACAACTTCCAGCATGTCATGCACACCAATCGCGACGAAAATTCGGCGAATGAAGCCCCCGAGCAGTTGACAATGCGGGCAACTGGCCCAACAAGCGCCCCCAACGTCAACGAGGGATCTGGTCTTCTCTTCCACCCCGACGCCTACAACGACTCTGGCGCGTTCTTCTCCCGACCTGCTGCGGGCTCACGCCAGTCAGCATCAGTTGGACCTCGTCGGTTGATGAGGCGGATCCGATCGCAGGACCAGCTCCGAGGAAGCACTCCTTCCATGTCACCACCACCCAGACCACCCAGATCCCCTATCCATCCCACCGCACCGCAACCAGGCTCTCCTGGTTCACCCGCTCGCAGACCGAGCCTCCAAGTGGCATACGAAGATGTTGAGGAGGAGCTCCCGGTCGTCAATATCGAGCGACCAAAGACCAGCGGCGGTTTCCGGCACCCGCAGCCGTACAACCCCAACGACCCAGTCGAGCCACTCCCGCCTATGCCGATCATGACTAGCCGAGAAGACTTCCATGTTTATAACACGATGCTCTCGCCAATCCAGCCTTCGCCTACGGAGCCCGCTTGGCCACTCGCCAGCCCTACGTTGGCCACATACGAGACCCCGCTTGCCGATGTCCCGGAGGAAGATGAGCACAGCGCCGCCCACCGACGGTCTATCCGGGGCAGCCAATCTGTCCCTATGCTTCGTAGATCCCATCGCCCGGCGAGCAACGCGTCAGAGACTCTCGGCAGTCTTCACACGATGTCGGTGCAGCAGCAACAGGCATCTATGGACCTGACCGCTGAGAAGCACGGGTTCGACTTTGGCGTTATCGAGGAGAGCTGGGAAGATGACATTGACTATTGCTATGAGCACGAAGCTGAAGCTGACTGCGACTACCAGTGGGAGCGTGATTCCATGGATACTGCCCGTGATAGCGATACTCTCCCGGTGGAAGTGACTTTAGCTCCCGAGGACGTCGAGGTCCCCATCGGGACCGCAAGGTCGTCCCCTGGCATGCTTTCAGTAGCCACATTTGACGTTCCAGGCTTGAGCCCCATTAGCCAGGTATCGACACCCACTATCCAAGAGGCCATCACGCCTGTTTCCGCCGCCCCTTCGGCCAACTTTTCTCTTCCCCTCCTTGACAAGAAGAAGCTATTCCGCGTCTCGCACGCCTCGAGCTTCAAAGAGTCTCACGGCTTTACCTTGTCGCCTTCTCTGCTCATTCCTGGCGATTTCCATCAGCAGATGCTCCTTGAAGAGGGCGCCAGACACGAGTACCCCGACGAGGATGAGCTAGCGCTGCCATACGCCCAAGCTGCTTTGTATGACGAAACTAGCAAGACTATGCAATGGTCGCAGCAGCGGGCAAGCACCTCCACAACGGGGACTGCCTCCACTCACTCTGATTCGACTGCCGATCGCCACATCTCTACCAACTCTACTTGGTCATTTTTCACCCGCCACACAGCTAGCAGCAGCGGGTCTGTCCACAAGATGACTGGATCCTGGACCGAGACGGCAGAGCCCCTGCCCGTTTCTCAGGTGGATGTGCCACAACAAGTTGACGCGGAAGAAGAGGCGGGTATTGCTAGCCCAGAAGACACAGTTCCCGAACTTGTCTCGTTCCCCCTGGGCCCATCCAGGAAGGTTTCTCACAAGTCTCATGCCAGCGAGTCGGTTATCCACGAAGAGCCTTCATTCAAGCAATTCGAGGCTGGCCAGAGACGTGGCTCACGAGCTAGGACTGCTAGTTTGAGCAGCCAAGCACCTCCTGTGGGACAGTATGCCCTATTTCCCCGATCATACATCAAGCCAACTGGCGATCGCATCTAAAATAAAACACAATCCACCAAACAAATACATCCTCTCCTATATACCGACACTCCCATACACACACACACATCGCAGTCAAATCTGATTCGAAATCGGCCCTACTATCACGCACTCTTTTTGAAAGCATGCGCCATTCGATTTCCTATGTATCCTTAGCGATGTACACCACCTATTATTTCCTCGTCAATTTTTTTGAGATTCTCTCATACAACAAGATCCGGGCCCACGATGCCTGGTGAAACTGTATGACGCAGAATCTTGTGTGATTCTTACCTATCGTTAAAGGCGTTCTTCATTTCTGCTGTATAGAGTATTAGAGGCACAAGATTGCCTATGTTTGCCTGACGCTGGGCTTTTCCTTAGAGATGATGGGAACAAATGGGGAAAAAAGAGAGAGCAAAACCCCGCCGGAAGAAAAAGAATGATATAGAAAAAAAGGCAGACAAAACATACACGCAACTGCCGCGGTCTTTTCTCTCTCTTCCTCTTGTCTGGAAAGACTGGAAATGGAAATTCCGGGATGGAATTGCGGGGTTTTATGACGAATGCGATGGGATTTATGAACTGGACTTAGAAGGAGTTTTCTTTTTATTGTTATCTGCCTTTTTGTCCTCGTCTCGAATTTTTCTTTGTCTTTTTTGAGTTGGCATCACACTTGGTCCTTTTTTTTTTGTTGTATGCGAGGAAACTACCTGGGATTTTTGTTGTGCTTGAATCCGATATTATTCAAAGGGTAATAAGTGCGGGTTTGGCTTTTTGGGGATTTTGGATTTGGATTTGTTCAGGACACAAAAGTGTGTATAATTTTCATTGAATAGAGAATGCTTGAAATATAAAAAAGAAAAAAAGGAGAACCGTACAACGGGATATGTTTTTGAGGTGCCTTTCTTTACGTTTTGGAAGTGGTGAAATGATGCTTCTTGTTATGTGTAGCTATATTTGACTATCAACTACAGAAACCCCGTATCTTTCCATTGCGAATAACCCAACCGACGTTGAAAGCATCAAAAAGAGATGTTATAAAATAAACCAAGCTTCGATTAGCCTTTGATAAAAAGCAAAACCACACGCCTCCGGAAAACGCCATCCTAGTCATTCTTCCCTTCATCCCTTCATTGTTTGCCTTTTCTTTTCTTTTCTCTTTGCCCCATTGTGAAGTTTGTGAAATTACAGTTCATATAAACCAAAGTGCCCGAGTTGGGACGGGATCGGCTGATGCTCTCTTTTATTTCTTTGACTTCTTCTTGGGTCGCTCCTCTTCCTCCTCGTCATCGACGTCGTCCATATCTTCATCCTCGTCGTCGTTATCAACATCACTCTCAGCACTTCCAGAGCCGGAACTCTCGTGATTGCTGTCGTATTCCTCAGCAACATCGCTGTCACTGTCAGCCTGGAAGTCCTCATCAACGCTCTCCTCATCCTCATCCGCAGAACCGCGATCCGCCTTGGGAGCGACGACCTCATCGTCAGACTCAAGCATGGCCTCTTCACGAAGAGCGGCTGCAAGCAGATTGGCGTCCTCGTCAATCTCATTCTTGACGCGCAGGCCCTTGAGCTTGAAGAAGGACTCCAGGGCCTTGAGATCCTCACGATTAATGTTGCTGAATTGCGATGACCCGGCGCCGTTCTTCATGACGACGGTGATGTCGAACGTGGACAGGGCGGAGACTGCGCCGCTGACGCGGGAGAAGGTGACGGACTGGGTCTGCTCGTAGGCGATGTACGTGGCGGGCTTGGGGACGAACATGAAGGCCTTTTCTAAGCAGTACAGGAAACCTTCGCTGGCCTTGATGGAGCACTTGATGCCGTACTGGTTGCGGTGGCTGTTACATGACAAAGTTAGCATTTGTATCAATCGGGATGCTCAAGCAGGGAGTTACATACGTAAGGAAGTCTTTTGCAGGGGAGGAGATCTTCTTGTTGCCGAGGCCTCGGAAGATTTTGGCCACGACGTGGTGCAAGGGTTCTTCGTAATGGGGCTCGAGCTTGTCCTTGTACTTGCTCTCCAGCTCCGCCTCATCAATATTCAAGTCGATAGTCACCTCCTCGTCCTTCTTAAATTGCATGACGACAAAGGGATATCTTGTCTGACCCTGGCGGAGAGGGGGATCCAGGCCAATGCAGAGCAGGCAGTGCATTTCGTCGGGCTTGGGGAGCACCATAAACTTCTTGACGGCCTCATACTGGATCTTGTAGTCGTACGTCTTTCCACGGAGTCTGAACGAGGCTTCGTACATGTCGATATCAAAACGACCTCTGCAAGTGTGTTAGAAAAGAGCCCACAGGATGAGGGGTGTTGAGGAGGCTGAGCACGTACCTGGGGGTGAGATGCAGAACATCGAGGAAGGTGGCGATAGTATCACCGGCCGTCTCACCAATCTCTGCCTTCTCAATCAGCGTCTCGTAGAAGAGCGTTGCGGCATTCTTCTCCTCCTCCTCGCCGGCGTCGCTACCGGCGTCCTCGCCCTCGGTCTCCTTCTTTGTCGTCACACCGGGGATGTAAAATCGCATCTCGACGAGTTGATCCTTGCCTGCGCCGGCCTTTTTGCCCTTGCCACGCGCACCGCCCAGCTGGCCATTGGTGCCGGTGTCGTTGGCGTTGAGGGGCAACGCCAGCTCTACTGCGACCTCGTTTCGACCAGCCAGGTTTGTGTTTCCAATCTCAGAGTACGGCATCTCAAAAGCCGGACGGTTCTGGACGTTGAAGACAATCTCGGCCTTGGAAAACTCGGCCTTGCCCCAGTTCCACCCCCGCAGCGCATGTTCCTTGTTCTCCAGCACGGTGCTGTACCAGTTCTTGAAGATCTTGCTGAGGCGTTCGTAGTCTTCCTGCTGGAAACCGTCCAGCTGGATGATGCCTGAATTGCGCTGCAGGATTCGGATCTCGTATCCCCTGGCGGCTCGACTCCATTGGGCGCTTCCAATGTTGCTGTGATCGAGGGTGAAGGTGTCACCGCCGCCCGCGGGCTTCCATCCGAAACCGGTCTCTGCGAATCTGCACTTGCCGCTCTCCTTGGAGAGGTCAAGGTAGATGCTGTCGAAACTCTCACTGCATGGAAGAGGCTGTGGTTAGCATGCTGGGAGTCGATTCTGGGGGCAAGTTTTGCTGGACGCCGTGAACAAACGCAAAAGATGGCGGCAGTTCTCCCTCTACATTGGTGGAGGAAGAGAGGATGGTGAAGAAGAAGAAAGAAACATGGGGAAAGGGAAAAATGAGAGAAAACAATAGCAGAGGGGAAATGAAGATACTCACATTGCAGTCATTTTGGCAGCCCAAATTGATGCGGATAAAATGATGCCAGCAAGGCTTTGGAAAATCAAAATCAAGCTGCGTGTGGCTTTGCACAAGGTGAGGCTGCTTTAATAGATTAAAATTGAGCTTCGGCGCGACGCTGCACCGCGCAGAGACGCGCCACCTGCATGTGCGCCTCAGCCTTTGCGCCTCAGCCACAGCAGACCCCCGGCTAGTGTGGCTCGTGCATCAGAAAGGCCGAGTGAACTCTAGATCTCATCTTGCAGCTCTCACGACGAATCTACATAGACAAGGGCCATAGAACAGGCGTATTGTGCCAGAATGCGGCCGATAATGATATTGAACTTGATATTCAGAGTGAAAATTATTTACATAAGAGCACAAAATATGACTGGCTGCTATCGTTTAACCAAGCTCAGAGCTTCAGCGTACTCGGGTATCGTTGTTACTACCATTATTAAGATTATCATTAAATTTGAAGCTATTTGCCCAGCTGCTGATACTTGACAAAGTCGCTACGCAGCTTGCTAATGTTGATGAACCCGCTTCGAGCTTCCAGGGCGTTGAAAGGATTGCTGCGCAGTTCCTTGTCCGCATCGCCCGAGGTACTGTCTCCCTCCCGCTCAATCTTGCCAGCCCAAGTGTGCCATTGAATTGGCTCCGGCGTTCCTGATCCCAGCACGAGTCCCAAGCAGATCAAAAGAGTTGCAGCAATGGTTTCGATGTAAATGTCCAGGGGTAGAGAAGTTGCCGACGGTGATGTGGGATGCTGGACTGAAGTGGATGAGAGGACTGTGTGCTCATGCGCAGAGTAACATCTGGCATCATCTTAGTATCATGCGCCCACATGTGAATTCCTAACAAACAAGACAAAGAAAAAAAAAAGGACAAGATGAAGGCGCAAAGATCATACCCATGAGCAAGAATGACCAGACCGATGACGGTCAGAGGACGAGATAGCCACGCCATTGTAGTTGATCTCGGTTGCTGATGAGATGAGGCTGGCGACTGACTTGGTACTGGTGAGAAGGTCAAGTGAAGCTTAGTTGAGGCTCGGCATGGAACAAGCATCCGCCGGTCAGCGCCGGGTTCAGGAGTTTGCACAGTGACCAGCACAGTGGCTCCGCTAAGTTTAGCACGGGGAGGGCCCGCTAACTGCCGGGGGTTTCTCCATGGGTGGCAGGGCCACTAACAGAATGCGGTAGAAGGTGTCTGTCTCACAGGTACCATTGCGGCAAACTTTATTCGAAATTATACTTAAAGACCATACTGCGGCTAATCACGCTTGTTGCAGCCGTCGACGAGTGCCTTCCGCAATGCCAACGCTGGGTTAGCACACACAGTGCGTCGCCTCCTGTAGCAACGAGATAACGTCAGTCATCTGGGCGCGTGCGATGCCAACTCAATAATGCTCCATGACAACTACATGCACTCCATCACCTGACAGCCGCTCCCTATTCATTCCTCTCGACTCTCCCATCGCCATCACCCGAACGCTCCTTTATCATCACTGGCAACTCCTCTGCGACCCGAACTCGCCCTCTAGATGAAATAACCCATCTCTGATTTCTCCCTACCGTATCTGCTCATGGTATCGCCCAGTTCCAGGTGCGGTCCTGCCGGCAGGGTCACCGCCGCCCTGCTGCTGGCATCGGCACTCGCCATCTCGCCAGGCTCGGCCAATATAATCGGCGGTGATGTTGGTCTCGATCAGCAGGTCCTGATGCCTGTTGGCCCAGGCCCTCTACTCCCTTCGCAACCCAACACGGTTCATCCCGGTGAACATACCTTCACTCTTCGACACATCTACCACCACGGCACCAACAGAAACCCGAGGCTTCACAGAAAGCTAGACGTCGTCCATGACCAGTCCCGAGTCTTCCTCGCCGCCGACGATGGATACGCTGAGCACACGGTGCCGAAGCTCACAGCCAAGAGCCGTGGCGAGACGATCGAACGGCTGGTCGACAGGCGGCCCTCCGTTGTCGACCCCATTGTCGCCGAATCTCGAAAACAAGGCTATGCAGCCGTCTTAGATGCCTCCGCATGGACTATGGACCAAGTCTCCTCGCCCGACATCACCGATAAAAACACCGTTCTTACCATGGCGTACGTTGCCGCTGACGCGTATGTGGAAAACGATGGGCAGGCTGATTGGCAAGACATTGGCGCCCCTTTCAACCGAAGTCTAGACTTTGGCTGGGGGACGGACGGTCTTCGTGGTCATATTTGGGCCGATGAGAATAATTCCACCGTCATCATCGGCCTCAAAGGGACATCACCTGCCGTCTTTGACGGAGAGGGCACAACGACCAACGACAAGGTTAATGACAACTTGTTCTTCAGTTGTTGCTGCGCTCAACAGGGTCAATGGACGTGGCACCAGGTATGCGACTGCGCTACCGGCACATATGCCTGCAACAACACATGCGTGAGGACAGCTCTTCAGGAGGAGAACCGTTACTACGCCGCGGCTCGCGAGCTCTACTCCAACGTGACGGAACAGTATCCCGACTCCAACATTTGGGTGGCAGGCCATTCTCTTGGAGGTGCTGTCTCTTCTTTCCTAGCCCTGACTTATGGCCTACCCGCCGTAACCTTTGAGGCCGTACCAGAAGCACTTCCGGCTTCTCGACTGGGCCTCCCGATTCCTCCTGGAGCCAACCCCGACACACCACAGACACGAGCCTACACAGGGACGTATCACTTTGGCCACACCGCAGACCCAGTATACATCGGTACATGCAATGGAGCAACTGCTACGTGCTCGTTTGCTGGCTATGCCATGGAATCTACCTGCCACACTGGCTATGAGTGTGTCTATGATGTTGTGGCGGACAAGGGGTGGCGAGTTGGTATTGGCACGCACAAGATTCGGGCTGTCATCTCCGATGTCATTCTCAAATACGACACGGTTCCCAAATGTGTCCGTACTCCTGATTGTCGAGACTGTGGCCCCTGGAAAATGTACGAGAGCAACGGCACTGAGACAACCACGTCTGCAGTTCCCACCACAACCTCTCGAACACGGACACGTACATCGACGTGTCAGACTCCCGGCTGGTGGGGATGCTTGGACGAGACAACCACGGGTGGCACACACGTGCCTGAACCTACGACCACTACCACTACTACTTCCACCTGCAAGACCCCTGGCTGGTTTGGATGCAAAGACAAGACGACGACACCGGCAAGCACTTCTCAGTCTACCGTAACAACGACTTGTGAAACCCCCGGACGATTCTGGGGCTGCAACGATGACGCTACTCAGACAAGCTCTCAGTTTGCAACAATCCCCGCAACTACGACCTGCGCAACCCCTGGCAGGTTCTGGGGCTGTAATGATGCGGTGACATCTACGACCACACAAGCTGCCGCTGGGAGCACCGCTCCAACCATCACAACGGCCCCCACCGAGGTTCCAGCATGACGACAAAGAATGCGAGTGACTGGAGGAGAGATGGATGTACCTTTTCTGATTTAATATCACGGCGTTGGGCAACTTGTTTATTTAATAGACCACTGCTGGGGTTAGTTGGGAAGATCTCGTGTTTGAAGCGGGCAAGAATTCTGTAGCGTTTACGATAAATGAGTAGGTGGCAAACAGTACCTACCTCGACCTGGATAGTATCTAGGCATATACACAATGACAACTGAGGTTTATTTTTCAATCTGATAATTTGCTGCTTCTTGTGTTATGAGGTAGTGTTGATAATACCTGTGATAATTGCATGCATTTGATCTCCAAGCTTGCTCATCGTAGAAGTAGAAGTACTTAGGTTATAGTGTAAAACCCAGGCTTAGATAAGTAGATGTACTTGTATAGCTTTCATCAAGGGCGGCGTGATGTCAGCCAGCGAAAGTGGAATTTTTATTTTCACGGTCCAACGACAAACGCGTTTCTCTCCCCCTCCATCCCAAAAAGCTCCCGCCTTGGTCCCTCACCATCAGAAACGGCTCCAATGTAGCCGCTACAATTCAGCGCGCTCAAGTGCTCAAGCTTTCAACTCATTCAACCCGCCGTTGCCTCTCGAGTCGTTGAAAATGTCGGCCATCGGCTCAGAAGCGAAGCTGTCAGAGCAGGAAGAGTCGCAGCTCTCAGCGCCTCCTCCTCTCAGCGACCTGGACAGCTCCGACAGCGATAGCGAGCCGGAATCAAAAGAAGCGGAACAGGAGACGGAGGCCGAGCCCGTAGAATGGCTCGCCACATCACGATCGCGCCGAGCTACGGCTGGCAATCGTATGAAGTCGATGCTGGCCAACGAAGAGCCGGATTCCGACCTCGAACTGCTATTCGCCGAATCCGAGAACGACCAGGGCTTCTCCGACGTCGGGGATGACGCCTCTGACGTTCAGATGGACTCGTCATCCGACGACGAGGACGAGAACAATGCTGGCGACGATCTCGAGGGCGAACAGGAGCTCGAGCGACAGGCTCGGGAGCGGCGCGCAGCCCAGCGAAAGCGAAAAGCCCAAGATGCCATCCCAGCCAAGTTCAGGAAAAAGGTCCGCATCAACCCGGCAGCATCAGATACCTCGACGCCGGCTCCCGCGCCTCGACCCAAGAAGAAATCCGAGCGCACGTCGTGGCTGCCCTCACCGGCCGATCTTCCCACTCGAGCATCCTCTCGAAAGACGACACGCATGTCCAAAGAGCAGCTCCACCAGCAGATGATTGAGCGAGAAGAGCGGCGGCTGAAGCAGCTGGAGCAGATGCAGAAAAAGGCGGCCAAGATGGAGGCACTGAAGAAGCCCCCCATGACGCAGGAGGATCGGCTTCGCGAGGCTGCCATTGTGGAGAAGCGCAATAGCAAGAGCTTGAATCGATGGGAGGTGGCTGAGAAGCAGAGGGAAGAGGAACGAAGAGCAAAACTGGCGGCTCTCAACCAAAGAACCCTCAAGGGTCCGGTGATTACATTTTGGACAGGTCTCGGCGAGGCGCGACGTGTTGTCATAGAGGAAGAAAAGCCGAAGAGGAAGAAGGTAGAGAAGAAGCCCAAGGAAGCCGAAGTTGCGAAGGACGGGGCTGCCAACCCAGCAGCAGATAAGCCAGGCAACGGAGACCAGCAGCAGACAGATGCTTCAATGAAGGTGGTAGCCAGTAGTGATGTGTATACCTCTGCCCTCCAGCCCAAGGCAGATCCTACGGAGCCGCGGTCAAAGGAGAAACAAACAACAGCAGCAACCGAAAGCAAAGTTACGGACACAACGCCTCCGGTGAAACAGGAAGACACTGGGGAGAACCTTAAACCCCAAGAACCCTCAAAGCCATCTCCAGACGCATCATCACGGCCTCCTAACGATGCTGTTCCTCCTACCGCTGCCACTACTACCGCTTCTTCAGGTGCCAGCCCCCTCGCTGCCCCGTCCAATGTTCTCTCTCCTCCTCCTGCTCCTTCTGCAGTTACTACTTCTACTGTCGCAAAGCCCTCCGAAGAACTACGCCAACCACCGATAGCCTCACCTCCACCACCACCTCCGTCTCATAGTGGTCTAGCTGCACCGGCGGCCGCCTCACCCTCTGGGCCACCTCGCCAGATGTCACCGTTGGCGGCGCCCGCTGGAATTGGCAGCCCGCGACCTATAGAGGCAAGCAAGCCATCTTCTGTACTCGCGCCCCCAATGCTTGCCCCTCCGCCAGTCATGAGCATGGACTATCGCCCCAGCCCGGCACCGAAATCCAACGTTCTTGCGCTTCCACTACCTCAGACCACTCTAGCACCTCCAATGCAGGGTCAAACTCCCCCTGTTCCTATGGCTGGTGCTGTTCACGTCTCAAACGAACCTGTTCTTCGACACACCGTTCTACGACCTATCAATCCCGATCTCGAACCAATCAGCAAGTCTGCAAGCCCTAGCCTCTCAGAGCCACCTTCGCAGCCTGCTCCTGCTCCAGCTGAGGTCCCTGAAGCCCCTGAGACCACCACTCGCAATGTCATCATCTTTCAAAACTTTGATACGAACGCCATTCAAGACAAGACTATACAGACTCAGATCTTGTTTGGTCGCAAGATGACAAAGCTCAACAGTATGTGTTACCATGCCAATTCCCTCCCTTCAAAGTCCTCTCTCTAACTTGATTATGTTATAGAACCCCCTTCTAGTCAGAATTGTGTCATTACAAACCTTCCAGCCCGTTACCGTGACCCTGATACCGGGTTGCCGTACCACAATGTTGCTGCCTATCGGGAGCTCCAGCGTATCAAGCGTGGAGAACTGAGCTGGAGCGCAATTCTCAACGCCTGGGTAGGCAGTGAGAAAGTGGCTGCTCGTGGTGTACCAGCAAGATTCCTCGATCCAAATGCGCCGACTAAGACTCCTGAAGAGCGGGAAAAGGAAAGGTTGGCCCAGATAAGGCCTGTTCCGCCGCAGCCTCAGCCTGTGCAAGTCCAGCAGCAGCATCCTCAACCCGTGCAAGTGCAACAACAACATCAGGGGCCGCCGGCGGCAGTCGTGGCAGCGGCTCATAAGTCGCCTCATGTTACGCAACATGTGCAGCAGTTACAGCAGTCTCAGCAACAGGGGACTCAGAGACCATCATTACCTCAACAACATCGACCTCAACTGCCTTTACATCAGCAACTACAGCAACTAGCAAAGCCTCAGCAGCTACAGGCACCTCAACAGCTTCAAAACCGACCAGCCTCAAATCTGCAAGCACCACTATCGCTGCAGCAGCAGCAGCCGTCAGCGCCCAGCACGGCACCCAATGTGCCTCCAACGCTGGCTCCTCCACAACAATCTCCTCTCAAAGTACCAGCACCGCAGCCGGTGCAAGCATCACCGTCTCCGGCTGCCCAAGTCCCTGCTCAAGCCGCAGCCCCCTCTCCTCAACCTCCGCCCCAACCTCAATCTCAACCTCAACCTCAACCCCAAGTTCAGCCCCAAAAAAAACCTGCAGCTGGGCCGCAAGTGTCCCCTGTTCCACAACAAGCGGCGCAGGCAACGACCACTTCGACACAATAACAAAAACATACCCAATTGTTGTACCAGAAATGTACTAGTAGAGAATTATATACATTTAAAAAAAAAAAAGTAAACATAGGAACCACTCCAATAGTCTGTGGAATCACTGTGTAGTGTATATCAGCCGTGATGTTGCTCATCCCCCCTTCTCTTTTTCGTCAGGAGTATCTGACCTAGCCCTATTTAACCAACCGGAAAGGCGAGATTTCATAGACGAGGAGAGATCTCCAAGGCATTTTCTCAGACATAGGTTTGGACACAGGTCCTGCGGTCAAATTACGTCAAGCGTTTTAATCTACACCCAGATCAAACATCAAAACTTTACTATATACATCGTATTACTCAGTGTGATGCATTGGCCAATTGTTCATAACGTCTTCAAGCTCCCATTCCAGGTCACACGGTTTCAAAAGGCTCAATCACTCATTGACACACCATGTCTGCTTTAATCGAATTCGATTCATTCAACGAGCGTGTCGTTCTTATTCGAAAAGCTAAAAACTAATATCAAGGATAGCTAAATGCTCATCGCTGCCCATGCTAACGCCTTCTTATCTTCAAAGAGAGGTAGTCCTCTAAATTCTGAGGTATCATTTCCATGTCCCGTATAAAATCAGACTTTCTCGTCTCCATTTTCCATTCCCAATCAAATCAAACCTAAACGCCTAGCCATTTCCGTTCAGCAGCTTCGCTGAAGCTTGGCCTAGATTCCCAGTATATATGTAAGACAAATAAAACGAGGTATATCGTTCTGTATAACCACCCAGATGCCTGTGACCGAGTTTATACAGTATGCGCCGAGCCCAGAAGCAAAACAAAAACGAGAGAAAAGTAATACAAGGTAGTATCTAAAAAGAGATGTATGTGAGAACTGAGCCCATCTGTAGCTCAATGTAATAGCGACTGATTCACGCTCTATATGCGCGATTATGCAAGTAAAAGGGAGAATATTCGTCAAGGGTCCTTGTTGGAAGCCTAGTGGCTGTTGGTCGTGCCAATGGCATCGACAATCCAGCCGAGCTCACTGGCAAAGTCATCGAGGCCAGCTTCGACATGAGTGTTCAAGATATTCGACCCACTGGGGATCAACTTTGGTGAGCTTGTGGTTGCAAAGGTCTGATGAGGGGCAAAAGCATCCTTGGTTTCTTCAATGTGACGTGGCAAGCTATATCCCTTGAAGGAAAGCAGCCGAGACTTTGAAATGGGGATAGGAGGGAAGTGACCATCGTCATCGTTGCTGGACAGGACGTCGTCGTCGTCATCTTCATCGTCATAGAAGCTCATGGGGACGTCCTCGTTGAGAGGGCTTGCAGTGGTTTTATCTTTTATCGAGCTGGACCATTGAGGTACCGGGTTGGGCTCGTTTGTTACAGCAGATATAGGCTGACTCTTGTCAAGAGAAGGAGGCTGAACTGAAAGCTTAGGTTTGGCCACCGCAGCAGAGTTGCCTGCCTCGGCATCTCGTTTGATAGACTCTGATGATGAAGAACGTTGAAAGGGAGGCGGCGACAGGATGGTGGTAAATGGCATGCTCTCCGAGACTGCAGAAGCAGCAAAGTTGTCATCATCCTCGTCTTCCTCAATAACGTCTTCAGGAATCGTCAAGGATGGCAGTTGAGCGGTGTGGCTAGGACGACGTGGAGCGTGGCTACCCTCGCGTAAGATACGAGATAGTGAGCTCGGAGAGATGTCTCTTGGCCGGGCACCTTCGCTGAGTGACGATGTATGACGACCATGGCGAGCATCGTGTGAGGGGACGGTGATGACGTTGTCATAGATGGTGAAAGTGGTTTCTTCAGAAGCAGCTGATTGGCGGCGTTGGCCGTCGGAGCTGTGTGGCTTGCGTGAGAAGAATCTCTTCCATGATGGTGGAGAAACTGAGCGAGATGACGACGATGATGGGCGTGTAACTGGGGCAGATTGAGCCCGGCGGTTGGCCATGCCTGGTAAGAGAGGCGTGGGTGGCAGCGGCTTCATGAACTTGGTTGCTGGGTCCATTGTCCTATAGTTTTCCTGGTGCATAGAGTTCATGGATGCACTTCGGAGGCGGATTGTGTGTTCAATAGGGACGTGGAGAGTGTTGACTGTTTGACCAGGCATATATGGGCAGGCAGTTGTGTAGGGCATCGTAGCATCAAAAGTCTCAGTTGACCCGTCCACCTCGTACTAAAGGGCGAAAGGTTAGATTTGATAATGATGGAATATGTGAAGGTGGATAGACACAGAGAAGAATGGGTGGGGGGTTGAAGGGAGTATATTAAAAGGAAACATCAAGTTGAAGAAGAGACTGGAGGTTGGTCCACAACATGGATCGAGATGGGAGATGGAAGGGCAGTGGAGAAGCGTCGATGATATAGAAAAAAGGAACAAGACTTACATAGTAGTAGTAGGTGTGACCCATCTTTAGACCACCACTTCGCTTCTGGTGGTGCGGGTTCTCATCATCGCAGACGATGTTTTGGAATGCAAAGCACCCTCTCCATTGGCCATGGCCACGTCGACTGTCCCGCTCCATGCTATAGCACATGGTAAAGTTGTCCCAGGAGCCAATGAGGCGTACCGATTGGACAGAGGGTTCCGTCTGACTGTGAGATTAGGGCGTCAGCTCAAGTCCGTTCCAGCGGGCTAGTGATGGCTGATAAAAAATATCATTTCTGAACGGGGGGTACGAATAGATGTATGTGTGGTGTGAAACCGGGGCCATACTAGCACAAGCCGGGAGTCAAGATTCTTGTCGTCGAGATCCCGTCCATCTTGTGTTATGCGCCGGGCCCGCCCCCAAGAAGCGTAGGGCTGGTGATGTGAACAGGGTACAGGCAGTGAGGTGTAGTGTCAAATCGGTATCGGCGTAACCATGGATCAAGGGGGTAAAGGAAAGGGTGAATCAAGGGCAGGGCAGCGTGGAAGCGGCGTGGCAAAGACTGATGATGGACTCATACCAATAGGCTAGAAAGGCGATGCAAGGGGGTGGGCGATTAGAGCGGGCTGACAGCCACGCTGATGGGCACGACACCCGGGTGAGAAAAGCAAATGAAGGGTGTTACTCCGTACTCGTACCGTGCTGCCAAATTGACGGAGCCTGGGCCGGACAATATGAACGGTTGGGCATCCGAAGGGCGGAAATTCAGTAGCACGGGGAGAGGGAGTCTGCCAGCAGAATGAAGAAATGAATATCAATGCGCCTTGTCCCAGTTCCAGACTAGTAAACGAGAGACAACAGCTGAGAAAAAAGAAGGACTTCGGCTGTCGCAAAGAAGGGAACCACCCAAAAATAGGAGAGACAGAACGTTCCAAAGCGAGGGAGGAAACCGAAATGAATGTAAAACACGGGAAGAAGAAAAGAAGGAAAAGAGAGAATATTCCACAACACACTCACAACATAAATGTAACGAGAGTTGTTGTCGGATCCATTGCTTAGAAAGGCAAAAGAAGCAACAACAAAGGTTTGTATGATATGGGATACGGCCTTATTAGTACTGAGCGCAAGCGACCCAAGGTGACACGCTCGGTCTGGTAGCCGGCGGCTATCTTGCAGTGTCTCGCGCTAATGTTGGATAATACCCAGGCGATGGCAGAGTAAGTCGAGATGCGTATTCCGATGCAATATTCCTTAATTGTAAGGTTGGATCAGAGACAAAAAGAGAGCTTCAGAGGGTGAAACAAGGCGGGCTGGTGGGCATGTTTGAAGAAGCGCCGAAACACCGAGCTTGGGTGACGTGATTGGCCAATTGGTGTGTTTGATCTGGATGCTGCAAGCGCCGTCAATGGGCCGGGGGAACAGTAGTGGAATCGGTTCCTGGACGGTTGGATGATGTTTGGGTAGTATTCCAGCGTTGGATGTTACCGAAGTAAGGGGGGTTAAGACCAAGAGGGAGAGAAGAGACGGGCGCTTATTAGTATGATTGAAAAGAATCTTGCTACTCGCGATCCAGAAGGGGCGAGGCGGGTAGAATGGCCTGGGATAGAGAGAAAAAGCCGCGGCGAGCAGGGATCGCGAGTAACCGGACAAGCTGAATACAGCAATAGATGTTCAAAGCGGAGATGATATAGTTTGCAGTTTTGTTGCCAAGATCAAGGCTCAAGAATGGCGATGCTATAAGAGAATCTGTGAGTGGTGAGGTAGCCACAAACAGACGGACGACAGAAAATGAGGAAGAGGACGCAAGGCTCCAGCCTAGCTACAGAAGATGATGGCAAAAGACAGATTCCTCCTTGTCCATAGCTTGGTAATTGTTCTTGTGATGGTCGTGTAAACTTTGAACTGTTGCCGGAGCCACCGTGGGATCCGGAGAGACGGCTGGCTAGCTAGCTGAGCGGCGCTCGTAGATAGTGTTCGTTAGTGCTGTAGTAATTGGATCCGGCGTGATGGGGACAAAGCAAGTTGAGCTCCGCTAACAGCCAGCTAACAACGAGCTGCTGGCCAGAGGTTATTGATCGGAAAGCCCGATGCCGTGCCAATGAGAGCAGTCAAAGCACCAAGCGGCCTCTCATCAGCCCCCGAGATTTCTCTTGGGGGGACATGGACGTGGCGATGCCAAACTCCAGGTCTCAGTTGAGTTCAGCTCAGCTCAGCCGGGGATGGGCAGCAGCCGCCTGAGCCGGATCCCAAGGAAGCTTCGGGCCAGGGTCCCGGCAGGGGCACGTTCTGACGCACGCAGGCACAGCGAGAGGCTGATTGGATGATTGGCCGTGCGTTGAGGGACCAGAGAGATTGAACGGGGCCGTGCTGGGGCATCACCGGCGCCAATCATGGGCGATGCCTCTCGTGGCATTAGGCTCCATATGCAAGTCGACGCTGAGAGGCCGCTATTCGCATTATTGGCGGCAGCATTATCCGCACCCAAGCACCCTAGTTTCTTGGCTATTGCCGTTGCCGTTGAGCATTGACAGTTTTGCGGCATGACGACACTGGCTCGGCGTTTGCTGTAGAGCTTCAGCTTTTCTCCCATTCTCCTCTCCGTTTTCGACGTCGAATCTAGGCCCAGACTCGACACACTAGAGAAAACGTCCCGCTGCGTGCGGTGTGTCTTGGTTTGCTGCTGCAAGGGAGCACTTGTTTCAACCATGGCACGATGCCGAGCGCCTAGCCATGCCGGGCCTAGCAAGGTTCATGCCGAGAAGCAGTGCAGTCAGTATACAGGAGCAAGACCGTACACTGTGACACGAGTACTCTGCGATACTCGACGTTTGCACATGATGCCTTGAAATGTTTTTTTTTTGTCTCGTTCAATGAAAGCGGTTGTGGTTCGAGTGGAGATGGAAAAGATTTCGATCGATCGCTTACAAAATGCTGGGATTGCCTTCCTTCCTTCCTTCCTTACCTCTTTTAGCCCGACCGCCTGCTGCTTTGGTCGGGCTTTGGCCTATTGATAGCTCTAGAGGAAGTAAATAGGTATTTTGCCAGTAATAATCTACGATACGAGATGCAGGGCTTCAACTCTTTCTTGGCTGCCCTGAAGCAAATGCCAGCTGCTCCGTATCATCATGGCAGTTTGCATGGATATGCTGAGGCAGCTCTCACAACAAGACAAATTCTTTCTGGCCCCCCTTCAGCAGCCCGGCAGTGCGTCTTCAGCAATAATGCCAACAAACACCCCCGTCATGTTGTGACTGCATCACCGAACCGACCAGAAAAGGCCTGGTCGCGGCCACAGGGGCGTGTCTTGTCTTGTCTTGTCTCAGCCTCTTATGCACAAATCGGCGGGTTCAGGTATGCATTTCTGCGTTGGGTCCCGATGCCCCTGTTCCAGCTTGGTCCGCAAGCATCGAGAATCGGCCATCGAGCTCCTTTTTGCCTTTTCCACGTGGAACTGGATTAGGTCCCTTGAGAAGGTCCCCGAAGGCGTGTGTCAGATATCACAAAGGACGGCGAGGCCAGGGCTGACTGTCAATCAGCATCTGCATGATTTGATTGCGGTTGTCTTCAACACTCTACACCACCCAATGGATGAGCATTCACGAGCGTGTTCTCCGTACAGGCATTCTGCAAAGCACGCTAATGTGCCAATATGCTCAAACTAGAGTATTGTCAGGCCAAGTAAAAGAGAAACTACTGGATCCCAGCCTATCCACGTATTGCACATGCATATGTGTAGTGCATGCACGCCACAATCTCGACTGTGGGACAAACCGCAGTACAACGCAGTGCAACGCAGCGAGAGAAAGGATTCGGTGGCTTCACGCTGCCGTCCCAAAGCTCTGCTCTGTACTCTATACTCTGTGCACCCATCGATGTACTTCATGGCACATGATGCATTCTTTGTGCTACAGTACGCGTGGTCCGACGGTTGCTGGCATCAGGAGCTCCAGATCTTCAGCCTGGCCCGCCCGACTTGAGCCGCCCGCATGCCGAAAATAAAGAATTAAAAATGGGGACCAAACCAAAGCACAAGCCTTTTTCTTTGCCTATTCTGGGTCGTGGACGGGAAGCGATCCTGTCACGCCCGCTGGTGACCGAAAGACAGAAAGAGGTCCGCGGGTCTTTATTCCCATTGTGCCCGTACATACGTGCACGATGAAGCAAGGCTGACATTCCCGTCAAGAGCGCTTTACTGATGTTTCGGAGAGAGTATCACATATCACAATGTTTCTTCAAAGAAACGTGGCGGGCTCTTATGGCGGGTTGCCAGAAGGGGAAACCCCAATAAGCCACCACAGGCTTAGCAGTCATAAGATTCACACCACCAATATGAGACTAATCAACACAAATCCCCTGCCTCGGGTTTTCTAACAACATTGGTATCATTAGCCATGCTGTAGGGGCTTCCAGCCGGCTATCGTACCGTACGAGCTGACCATGCATACGGAGTCCAGCCTGCGGGCTACTTTGTGCCTTTTCCTTTCTCCCTACGCTGATGCTGCAACTAACACGGAAATAATATGGCACATTAGAACTCCCGAGCTGGAACCGCCAATCACGCGCCCAGAACTGGATATTCAACATCCTCTCATCTCCAAGCCCGGCTGCCAAAGAAAGCTCCGAAGTCTCTCACTGGCTCGCAACATAATGGCATCTGCATTAGCACTCGCCTTAGTTTAGGGCTACCCTTCAAACGCAGCCGTGTTTCGACGACCTAATGCAAATGATCAACCTGAATTGTCTGTCAACACTGTGCACTCATCAAATTCCGCTGTTCGAATTCCGCTCTACCCTACCATGTCGTCTGCCTTGGATATTCATCAGCCGGTTGTCCAAACATAATTTTCAAAAAGTACCTTCGCTGTGCTGATACAGAGTACTTCCTACTCCGTAATAGCATCAATTTCGTTCATTAAGCATCTCACGTGATGCATTTTTCCTGTCCTGCATTCTTCCTGTCCTGGCCTGTCTGGGGATACGGTTCTCACCTCGATGCTACCAAGACAGGGGCTACCAAAAATGCTACTCACAGCATTCATCAATGGCTGTAGTTATTTTATATCTCTCGATGCAGGTCTTCTGTGCAATAAGCGTGCATTGACTCTGTATTTTATCAATCTATTAATCAGCAGCTAATCATCGACATGATCGTCTATGCTTCTACAAGGCACATCCATGCAGCTTCAAAATATATATACGGTCAGACAATTACCCCGGATATCGCACCAGCAATCAAGGCGATCCACCTCAAGGGCTCTTTGAATCAATCCGCCTCCGTGCTTCATCCCAAAGTGCCGACTCCGCAGAGCAGATCGTGTCCAAACCGTCGGGCTCGATTGGGGGTAAAACGATGAAACAGCTAAGCAGCAGCCACCCCCCTTCTGCGTTCTCTGC